CAGCCCCCCCTAAATCATAGTAGGGAAAAAGAGTGACCCCCCCCCCCACAAAATCATCATAGCCCACCCTCTAGGTAAATTATGAATGCTCCCTAAGGTCTTCGTTTTGTAGAAAAACCCCTTCAAACTACCAAACGAAGACCTTATCAGTAACGAGTGTTTCAACGCCCGGGATCTTGTAGAGCGTTTTAGCAGGGGTCTTCGTCTTGTCGTTTCACCTGGCCGTTTCTACAAAACGAACACCTTATCTATATTATGTATCTCAACGCCGGACAAAGTGTAGCGAGCGATAACATATAGTATTTTGAGGCCAAGCAAATCGGTTTAGCCAACCGGTGTCTTCGTTTTGTAGTGTAACGCAGATTTTTTTACAAAATGAAGACCCTGTCACTGACGTGCCTGTTGCACTGTGGAAAAGAGTTCTATGAGTTAGTCTTCATCAACGTGTTGTCTTACATCACTTTGTCTATAGGTCTTCGCTTTTAATGGGTCTTTGGTCATTGATCTTTGGTCTTCGGTCTTCGTTTTAATCAGACACCCCAGCCACTGCAGACGATTTTGGAGAGACGAGCAACTTAGTTAAATTGTAGTGAAAAGGCTATTGAGGCGATTTTTTCGAAGAATCTTATTTGAAGTAGTCACTGATTGCAAAGGTTGTCACTAACTTTTTTTGTAACAAGTTGAACACGTAGCGTCTTTGTACAGGTAAACAAGAGTCGAGAAAAAAAACGAGACTCCGATTCAAGATGGCGGTTTAACAAGTCAAAGCTTCAGTACTGAATTTAAGACGGTCACGCAGAGTCACGCAGTACTAGGATTATTGTAACATCTTCTTTTTTCTCTATTCTTGGAAGAAGATATTCCTAAAACACTAGAAATGAGTTGAAATCGAGGAAAGGATAATAACAGAAATAACTGTATAATATGTCCAAAATCAAACGGAAAACAGTTCCTGATGATAAAAAGCAATCTAAAAATGCTGACACAGTTTCAAGGTCTTATCATAAGACACCTTCGCTGCGTCGGTTCTCGAATGGTGGGGTCCGCTTAGCTGGGGGCATATTACAGCTTTCTTCTGAATGGTGTAGCTTTCGGCTGGACTGGCCAGGTGAGGGTGTTGAACGTGACTCTACAGAATAAAGTTTCTTTGGACTGGACTGCAATGGGTTCGCCTCTGACCTGGTTTTTTAAGTTGGGGCTTGAGATGATAGGTGGATTAGGAGTTCCTTCCTTATGTTTGTCTCAGGCAACTCAACGGTCTTATCGAGCTCAGGAGCCGTGTCAAGGTGCTGTCTGTTGCACCTGTAGGTGGATCCGCTTGAATGCACTTTGTCGAGTCACCTCAGGTTTATTCCATGAGTGAATGGTTTCATTCCAACGGTGTCGTCAGTGGTTTCAAGGCGGGCAAATTATGAGCTGATCGAATGTGATACTTGTCGCAGCTGACTCCGGGCAAAGTTGCTCGGACTCATGAGCACTGATTTTCTGCTGGGCGCAAGCAAAAATTTTAGAGTTGGTAGAAAAGTTCTGGTCTTTTTTCCCATGGGCCTTTGAGCTGGACTGCTGTCTACATCTTGTGTAGGTAGTCCCTAATGCTAAGTAGTGCCATTTACTGATCCTCGCCAGATTTGATGGTCTTGCGAAGCATTCGCTTTGGCAACTTTTATTGGCGACTGAGCTTTACCATCGGTGTTTTTACTGTGATGGGGAGAGATTGTGCGGTGTTTGAATTAGAAGTTAGCAGAGACGAATTGTAAGCCATTGCCTGTAACCAGTTTCTTATTAACTCCATTCCTTGCGAGGTGAACCTTCAGCTTTGTAATGACTGTGCGGACGACTTGGTGTAGTTCCTTGAAGTACAGTTGGTAGGTGGGTACAGGTGTAGCTGAAAATATCAGCCCCGATCTTCCGGTAGGCTCTTTCGGGAATAATCATGGCTTATGAGTGACTCCTTACATTGGGTGTGCTCAAATTCCATGCACGTTTCACAGGTTTGGATCCACTCCTTAAGTTCTTTGTTCTTCGCAGGCATGATGCAACTCCTTGATGGCCACAGTGGACGTCTATCTCTATTTCAGATCTCAGGCTCCCAGGCTCTCTCCACTACGAAAAAAAATGAAATGGCCATCAGTGACTGCAAATTCATCACGACAGTCGAGGTGTGACAAGAAGTGAGAGACGTGGTTTTTCCTTTAGCTAGCCGTCTTGGATGTTTTTCTTCAACTGAACCGGGTCACCATTGGATTGTTCGTGCATCTTGCTCATTCTTTCATCAGACGTGACGAAATGGGTAAAAGAGGTGACAGTTTCAAATTCATCTCCGCCATAACTGGTGCCTTTCGAAAGGATTGCACTGCCAATTAAGCCTGTTATCTGGGCTAAGCATTACTTTGCCTTTGAGGTACTGCACTTTGATGTTGCAGGCCAGGGCGCGTACTAACCTAACCTACTAACCTTGAAGGCGTTTGGGAGTCCAGTCAATTGGCTTCTTAATAATAGGCTCCAAGGACTTGTGCTCTAAACATATTATGACAGGTCAGCCAAACGTATACTGATGGCATTTTTCGAGAGCAAATGCAATGCCAAGCATCTCCTTTTCGATGGTAAGGTAGTTATTCTCGGCATTTCTGAGGGTTCTGCTCTCGCAGGTTTGTGGTTGCTTCTTACAGGAGATCGCCTCCCAGACGTATCCCACTGTTTTCACAATGAATTGACAGTTCCTTCGTAGGGTCAATTTAAAGTAAGCGAGCACAGGAGCTTGTTTTAGCAGACTCTTGTCTTCCTCAAAAGCTTTGTCCTGAGCAGCGTCCCAGTTCCTCGCAGTATTGGCATGGGCGAGAGCGTTTATGGGTTGTTTTATTTCTGAGAGTCTGAATACGATCTTTGACAGATAGTTAATATTTCCCTTTAGTCTTTCCACCTCTGCCTTGTTAGTTGGGGCTCGATCCTTATGACAGCTGCTACCTTTGAGGCGTCAGGCGTAAGGGCTAGGCTATTGAAGATGTGGCGGGTCCATGATTTCCTCGCCCTTTAAGGGCTTTATGTGAAAGGTTGCTGCCTCACTGGCGCGGCATATAAAATCGTGCGTGGACAAGAGCTCTTCGTGCTCCAAAAATAAGAAATTGCAAAGGTGCTTAATCAATTGCAAACCCAATTAACAGGAAAATATTTCTTAAGTGTTGCTTATCTTATTTTAAGCCATTTCCATGCTAAATGGACGCAAACCGGCCCAAAAAGGAAGATTTTGTCAAAATTGTGTTTTTTTTTCGGTCGCCAAAGGGTTAAATACTACTTTAAGCTGAAAGAGGCTTTTATCTACAACAAATCCATTTGGTATCACACAAGTAGATTTGCTAGGAGAAGAAATATTTTCTCACGTTATCTCCGCGTACTCTAGTTCCAAAGAAAGGTTTTCCACACAGCCGTGTCCTTCCTTTCGGAAGTCCACCGTTACGTTGCATTTTGCACTTCATTATGCTGCAGAACGTTGACGTGTAAACAAAGATGTTCGTGTCGTGACCAGGGAAAAAGTTCACAATTCACGTGAAATCTTTTTTTATGATTGTTTCCTAATAATTTATCTCAGTTTAAAGACGGTATAAGAAAGAAACTGCGGTGGAAGAGCTATTCCGAGACGTCACTCAGTCTGTTGGTGAGGCAAAATTGAAAACTATTCATGGCTTTAGAAATGGCAAGGAGCTTTTAAAGAAGAATCGATTGAGCGTTAGTTTCGCATCATGATAAAGTTAACGTTGTATTGATTAATTATTAATTTAGTCATTTATTTATTTGTTTTTACAGGTGGCAGTCCCTTCTCTCAGTGGTTTAAAGTTGTTTTTGTTGGCGATGTAAGAGTTGGCAAAACCTCACTTATTAAGGCAGTCAAATGTGAGGTGCGACCTAAAGAGTACAGGCCAACAAGAGGAGCCTGGATAACACACTATGACTTATCAGAGAGATGTCGGCTCCACATAACGGACACCTCCGGAAAACAAGGATTCAAAGAACTTACTGACCTATATTTGAGGAATCTACACTGCGTTGTCTTCGTGTTTGCTCTTGATGACCCCTCAAGCTTCAAGCGGCTTAATCACTGGCATCAAATCTTCACTAAAGCGTGTACAGGCGATCCTTCTAACGTTGTAAAGTTTGTCGTAGGTACCAAGACAGATGCACCTCGGGAGAGCTTAACGTTACAAAGAGAAGCGATGTTGTTCGCCGAGAAGATTGGTGCGGAAATGTGGATCACATCAGCTGCTAAGTCGTTTAATGTCTCTGAGCTATTCGCTAGAATTGCTGAGAACGTCAGTCGGCAAATGTCCAATTCATCTTACATTGAGCTGCTACCGAGAGAAAGCGACTTTCCAGATGGAGAAGCTGGTGACTTGTACGCTAACATGCTGGATGATGTGATTATTGGCCGCGGTGCTCTTGTAAGTTACCCTGATCCAGTTCTTTTGGACACCAATGGAGAAGAGATCTCCGATCTTATCTTATCACATCACTGTGTTACTATGATAGGACAGAGCAGGACTTTCAAGTGGGGAACATGGTCCAGTCAACGGTGAGAATATTAAAAGCCTGTGATTATACCAATCTCCCATACCAGTTTTCTACAGTAGGTTCTATGAAATGTCACTGCCAAAGTCCCTGGATGTGAGTATATATTTATACGGAATTGATGTGTATAGCTGGTCTTCTAATGAGAGAATTAAATAATTGAGAAGCCAGTCCATGTTATACCATTTCATACCTTTTCACGTATAATTAGGAACCTATGCAAATGTTTTGGCTAAAATCTCCACCTATTATCAGGATCTGTTGAGTATACGATAGTCTCTCAATTGGGGCGGCTGGGTCGACCAATTAAAAACTTGGGTAGAGGTGAACCGCTGAGAGAATGGCTTTCATAAAGCAAATAATTTTATTTGCTTCCAACCATTCTGCCCACCTGGCACGTGCTCCTGTGAGTGTATCAGCGCCGGCAGCACGCCTGAAAAAAATTATCGTTTAAAGTACTTAAACTCAAAATATATATATATTACTCAATTATTTTAGATCGAAAGAAGCAGTGATGAAGGAGAGCCCAGGAACGTTAAGAAAACCAGCAAACAAACTTTGGTCTTGCGCCATGGCGAATGCACCACCAAGCACCTGGCAGCACGAGAGCCTGGAGGGTGTTATCAAGTTTGGTACTACAATCAGGCGACAGCCCACTAAAACAGAATTTAAGAACATCAAAAAACTTCTTTTCACTTCACGTAAGTGATCACTTTCATTCAGTAGACGCTTGTTGAGGTAACGTGATCTTCCTGGCTAAAAACCATGGGAAAAATATTTATACTTGAAATCGCGTCTTGCAAAACCGCGGGAGAGAAGATAGACAAAAGCGAAAACAAATCATATCTCTTAGCCAGGAATCAAACGCGTCGTCAATCGCATGATAGTAGGGAGTTTAAGCAAGGACGTTGTTGAGCGACGAATGTCAACCGGAAGTGGACTTTTTGCGCTCCTTGGCCGTGATTTTGAACAACTTATAAGGCAAATCATCTCTATAAGTGTAAAGACACTTAGCAATACAAATTTGGTTCCGTCAAGGCATATTAAAAGAGAAAAAGGCTCACTTCCGGTTGACTTTCCAACCTCAAAAACGTCGCTACTTAAACTCCCCAGACAACTCTACCCCTATAAACATCACGAAATGCTAAACCCTCCATTTTATGTGTAGTCAATTTTTTTAAACCTACCAAACAAAATTTGCCGTCATTTGAATGGAAAGACGTCAAGAGGCAGGTTTCTTGAGCCCGATTTGCTCCAAAATCACACGAACGAAGGAAAAGGAAATAAGTAAAAGAAAGAGCGAGGAGGAAGAAAGGAGTAGAAGAGAAGGCATATTAAAAGAGAAAAAGGCTCACTTCCGGTTGACTTTCCACCCTCAAAAACGTCGCTACTTAAACTCCCCAGACAACTCTACCACTATAAACATCACGAAATGCTAAACCCTCCATTTTATGTGTAGCCAATTTTTTTAAACCTACCAAACAAAATTTGCCGTCATTTGAATGGAAAGGCGTCAAGAGGCAGGTTTCTTGAGCCTGATTTGCTCCAAAATCACACGAACGAAGGAAAAGGAAATGAGTAAAAGAAAGAGCGATGAGGAAGAAAGGAGTAGAAGAGAAAAATCAATGGTTGCACTCTTTATGTTTACAATGGCTACTTTGGCCGAAAAAAAACTGTTGGACACAAAAAGTCCAATTGGCGGTAACGTTTTCAAAATTTCGGCCAGATGTGTAACCTTGAAAATTTTTCTGAAAAACGCCGTTTGAAGCTGCTCGTACCACGTTTTGGTCATAGTCTGCCTAAAATGGCAGAAAACATTGTTTACAAGTCGAGCATTAGGCTAAATTTTGTTGCTGATGGAAAATTACAGCTTCCGAAGTTGGGACATGTAGTTTTGTTGCTAGGCGACTGCGGACACCATTCCATATATGTAAAGGCACCGGTTATCCCTTCCCGGAAATAACCGATTTTTTAACGACGTACTTGTTGTTCTTGACTTTACCTTAAACTGTTGGGTTACTTCCAGCTCTAGTAGCTGGTGAACGTGCTTTTTTTAGGGAAAAAAACGAAGAAAAAGTGAGAAATTGAGAAACGAGAGAGGAAGAGGTTCACGCGTCAAAGCAACTCACCTTCATGTTCACACTTCGCTATACCTCCGCTCCAAATATTACTAAATAAACTTAAGTACTACGGATTACAATAAAGTGAATACAACTGGTTTCAATCCTACTTAAATAATAGGAACAGCAGGTGCATGCAAATGGTGTTGCTTCCAATACACGTTTTATCTCCACTGGTGTGCCTCAAGGATCGATACTAGGACCTTTGCTGTTTATTATTTTCATTAATGACCTTCCAAAGTCTTCCACCTTTTTTTCTACCAGATTATATGCAGACGATACATCTCTAACAGCTTCTGGAAGTGATCTTGACAGTTTATTGCGTGAAATTAACAATCATTTACCAGCTGTCTACGAATGGTTATGCAGTAATAAATTGACCTTAAATTTGACAAAAACTAAGTTTCTTATCTTTATGCCTCGTCAAAAGGAAAGCTACAATCTTTATCCACCACTAACCGTAGCAAATGTTCATCTAGAGAAGTCCTTTTGTGTAAAATATCTTGGTGTGTATATTGATTGTCACCTTACTTGGCATGACCATATTGATTACATATGTGGCAAAATTGGCAAAAATATAAATATAATGGTTAAGTTGAAGCATTATGTATCAAAAGCAACACTTATTAGTGTGTATTATTCTCTTATTTATCCTTACCTTACTTATGCTTGTACACTTTGTGGAAATAATTATAACGCTCCATTGTCTCAAATCGTAAAGTTACAAAACAAAGCGGTTCGTGTTATAAATGATGTTCCTTTGATGGAGTCAATAACTCCACACTACACATCCTTAGGCCTTCTGAAATTTCCTGATATTGTTAAACTGAACACAGGTATGCTTTTTTATGATTATTTCCACCATGAAAAGTTTGCTAATATACCTGTTTCATTAGTATCTGAACTACATAATTACAGTACCCGCAGTGCATCATCCAATCAAGTTGCAATACCTACATTTCGAACTAATCTTAGGAGATTTTGCCCCAGCATTATTGGAAGTTTCTTTTGGAACGATATTCCGAAATCCATTAGAGACAAACCATCTAAAAAAATGTACCTGGCTCAATACTAATGAATCAATATCCCTTTTACAACTTTCTGAGCTATTTTGTCATTTTTCCTTTACTTTTTTAATTAGTAATCTTAAGTCCTTTGTTATACATAACTTTAAAGGGCACAATATTAGTTTATCTAGATGTGCCCCTCTCCTCTCCTTCCAATATATAATGTAATTCAATTTAAGTGTCGTAATTTCTATTTTACGCGTTTATTTCCTTTGTAAATCTTTATCTGTTACTATATTATTTTTTTTTCAGTTATATTTACATAACTTTGTATCAGCTAGGAATTGGAGGAATAAATAAAATGACAAAAAAAAAATGAATGAAAATACCTCCTCTCCAGGGAATACGTCCGAGATGACTGTGGTGACTTTTTGTGGTTCAATTCCATTTAGGTGACCATTTAGGGTGGGAAAGAAACCATGGATTATTCTACATGATGCTCCACACGGAAGAGGACAGTGTTTTGGAGGTCGGCCTGCACTCGGTGTTTGACCAGCAGAGTAGGACATCATCTGCGGAAAGAGTCGTTGTTGAAAACAATTTCCATTTCAAGCCTACACGAATTTGTGGACAAGCTGCCTTTGTTAGCTTGTCTTACACTCACTCGGCCGTTGTTGCGGGCGAAGCCAACGGTGTTTCAACATGGGGACACGGAGATTGTGGAGCACTTGGCCTCGATGAGTACCTGATTGCGAATTTCAGTCCTCCTTCTCCAATCGCTGTAACGTCAATCAGCTGCCAAGTCAAACAGGTCGCCTGTGGTGGAGACTTTACATTGATTTTGACCACCGAAGGGCTGGTGTATTCTTGCGGCTCGGGTGCATTTGGAAAGTTAGGTCATGGAGACGAACAAGACAAGAGGTTGCCTTCTTTGGTACGTATCCCTTTAGAGTTCCAAACTGCATTTTTCGGAAGAATGAACGTGATAAATAGTCTCACTCAAGTCTCTTTGTAGCGCTGCCGCCTGATGTCGGAGAATCATTTTTTTCTTTGTTGCTTGCTCGCGACATGACCATTTTGACATTTTTCTTGTTTAACGCTGTTTTTATTCACTATTTTTGTGGTGTCTGTTTTCTCTTAAACTCTACTCTGCTCAAGTAATATCTAACACTGCTGATCATGTACGCTGTTATATTTGTCTGGACCCTCAGCTAATCAACAGAAAATCGAGAACAGTTGTTTCTACGGCTGTTTTAGGAAATTTATCTTGTTTCATCCTCGAGGACTCGATCATCGTTACATATATTTGTGTTTTGGCCCGTGTCCAATTTTCCGCAGGCTGAGCTCTATGGAGTAGAAAAACGACTGAAAAAAACGATAAAATCTGGTCCCTAAAACTGGTCAGAAAAAAGCGATTTTTTTGTTGAAAAATCTTTGGTTTTGATCTAACATATATGTTTTTATCAAGGAGTTGTTTCAAGGCTGCTCGGACCCTCATAAAGAGCCAAATAGCTCTTCTTCTTCTCCTTTGATTACAACAAATACACTATTCATATTCTCCACACTAAAACTCCTTTGGAACCAGGAAATATTTGTTTAGGAGACAATCAAACTAATTTGTCTATTTTATGGTTGTCATTTTCCCTCAATATTACCTTGATCTTTCTGTTTGTGTTAATACGTAGAGGCGTTAAAAGGAGAAAACATATAGAGGATATTACATGGCCGCGCGGAGATACGAAATTTCTCTTCTCGTGTTGAAAAATATTTCACTCGTTCGCTGCGCTCACTCGTGAAATATCTTTTCAACACGAGAAGATAAATTGCGTATCTCCAAGCGGCCATAATGTTCTAGTTACTACATAAACACCAATGAAATACCAAACCATTTCACTTTAATTTTTTTTTGGTGTGAAAGGCGCGATTAATTATGTAGCTATAGTAACGGTGATCTTTTCACAAGTGAAGATAACATGTTATTTTCACTTGTGAAGATATCTTATTTTCGCGCGAAAGCTCTCCTGGTATTTCATTGGTGTTTATATAATAAAAGTAAATACTGGTTTCTGTTGTGGTCAACGCATTTCTCTTATACTTGTAGATTGAAGCCCTGTGGAACATGAAAGCCATTGCAGCAGCGGGTGACCATGCCGCGGCAATAACCAACAGAGGATTTTTGTACCAGTGGGGAATGGAATGTGCCGATGAGCAGCTAACACAGTTTGTATCAACACCCACTAGGGTGGGGCAAATCGACAACATCACTGTGACGTCACTCTCGTGCGGCACGCACCACACTGTCGTCGTAGGAAATGGGCGGTGGTACACTGGAATCCCGTATTCGTGGGGACGGGGGTCGTATGGTCGTCTTGGCGTAGGTCATTCTAGAAGTCTCTTTTCTCCAGGATGTGTCAACGAACTTTACTATAACTCAGGCAAGGTTATCACACAAGTTTCGGCTGGAGACAAACACACCGCATTTTTAACAAAGGATGGAGAAGTTTATACGTGCGGTAACAATGCTTTTGGACAGCTCGGTTATCTCACCGCTTCCGGCTACAGCGATGTGCCACGTATAGTTTGCCTCGGGAAGAACGCCACAGGAGATGAAACCAGGTTTGTTGTTTGCATTGTGTTTTGGTTTAGGATAAACTGGATTCCTATAGTAACAAATAAAGTGATAAATCGCCTCTTAAAAATGGCGAACGATTTCCACGAAATATTGCCCTTTACTCGAAAATTAAACTCAGTTAGATCATCATCGTCACTATCATCTGGTGGAGTACGCCACATTCTACTGTTCTGCAAACAAAATTCGAAAACTTCAAGCATTACAAACATTCGTTTGTTGCCGTTGATAGTAATCCGGTTGACCTTCAAAAGACAAGAAAATAAAGACCCAGTGTAAAAAATTTTTAAAAAGGTGCTCTTGCCTCAGTATCCTGGATAGATGAATTTAATATCCTTCTATCTTCTTTTGACAACTTTTTGTTCTTTGAACTTAGGGCTAAGGAGCTTTTTTGCAACGACAACTACACAATGGTCTTAACTAAAGATGATGATGTGCTAGTGTGGGGAGCCTGCTACTATGGGTCAAAATTGGAAGATCCAATTCCTTTCGACGTCAACGACAAAACTAGCTTGAGAATTACTGATATCACCACATGCCGTATCTTGGGAGGAGAGACATTTTTTGAGCTCGTAGTTGCCTTGACAGATGACAGCAATCTGTTATTTTGCGCTGGATTGAAATCTGATAGTTATTGCCAAGCTGCCGAAGATTCAACGCCTCCAGTCCCATGTAACAAAACAAATCTGAAGACGCTTTGCTCCGTGGAGTCTGTTCTCGTCAGCGTCGATCAAGAAGGCAATGTCTATTACACTGACATCGGTTCATGGATTTCAAGGTTTTTACCTTCTTTCCCTACAGGTCATAACAGCCCGGAAGATTTTATTCAGGGTTTGTTCTGCCAGATGAGAGAATATTCAGACTCATCGAGTCCACAACCCGTAGAGTTCACGGCCATTACATCATTTAATGAAAGTACTGTTGCAGTTGTTGAGGCAAGTCTCAGTACCTTCCTCTTCTGTTCAGACATCGGTGATGTGTTCAGTTGGTCTCCGTTAGTAGGCGGGCATCTTGTTCACCACAAGGAACTGAACAGTGAAATAATCGTACAAATCGCCTGTGGAGCAAGCCATTTTGCCGCTTTGTCAGACAAAGGCATTCTGTTCACATGCGGCGAGGGTCGTTCTGGCCAGTTAGGTAATGGCAGTTTTCGCAGTATCGAGGCATTCCAGCCCGTTCCGGTAACAGAATTTGACAGGGTGCAGACTGTATTCTGTGGCTGGGCAAGCACGTCTGCTATCACAGAAACCGGAAAGGTAGGTGCAGTTTCTGATCAGAAACATATTATTTGCTTTTCTTGCTTATTGTGTGATTGATTCTACCATAAAAAGGGGCGTGGATGATCGCCTCATTAGGTGGTGACGTTAAGCCGTTAGCCTTGCTTCCTTCATCGATGAACTCGAACTTCAGTGATCTGGCATATCATACATTAAGCTTATAAATGGACTGATAGCGAAATCCAGTAGTGCCTTTGTATGCTGGCATCCGAGTTCACTGTCCATAAAGAAGACGAGGCGTACTGTCGTCTTATCGTCCGCGAAATGAAAAATAAACGTACCCTATGTTTAAGAAACTTGATTCTTTCCATTTTATCGTCCTTTAGGTATATTTTTGGGGACAGCTCGATCTGCGACGAGGAGAGAAGATAAGGAGAAAAGAAACGAATGTACGTTCACCGATGAACCGCTTTGACCTTGTACAACCCAAGCTGAATCAAGACAACACTTATTCTTTAGGTCCAGTAGAGTACCAAGTGGAAGAAAGTGGTGATACCTGGGGCGCAGAACATCAAGTTGCTGTTGTTGGCAAGCCATTTTTCGTCAACATTTTGCCAAGAGATCTGGACAAAACTAAATCTGGTTCTCGTATGGTAAGAGCACATTCCTGAACTCAGAAATTTATGTTGATAATATTAAACTCTGGTAATTGACCTAACTGGTCAGAGTCTTCAGACCCAAAAACATCACGGTTTAACGGACGGGTGACCGATAACATGGCGATCTAATTGAACAATCAGGCCAATAACCACAGCCACCTTGACTTTTAAGATGCCTGGCTTCTGCACAGTACAGCTTGTCGAAAGGTTCGTCTTTGTTACCAACATTCCTATTCAGATTCAAGACATTCAACCGGACGATCATATTTTAGGTATATTCCACATATCAATTAGACTGTCAGATCTGGCATTCCGCTCAAAACTGTTTCTCTATCGTATAGCACAAAATCTCTGATGATTGGTCTCCATAGAAACAATTCATTTTTTGGCTTTAAGAAACATTGAGAAACTCAATTACATCTAGAGCAACCATTCAGTAAGTAACACTTATCTGGCCCACGAAGAAAAACATCTACGTTTTCAAATGAATGAAAGTAAGTCTTGGTGAGCGGTTAACATTCGACTAACAGTGCATTGTTAGTTTCTTTATGTTGCCTGCTCAAAGCTTTTTGGCGGGAAATAGTTTCAATTTCTTGCGTATCAGGTGACCTTGAAGTAACTAATAATATGCGCGCTCTTAGGTTGAAACTCCAGAACTATTCCCACTTTTATGAGAAATTTATAATAGTCACTTTAGTGTATTCTTTTGACAGGAGTTTCGTGTGGTTGCAAGCAACTTCCAAGACCCAAGTCAGTTGCACACTAAAGGTCGCATAACCGAGTCTCAGACTATTGAACGGACTTTCGTTGCTTCAATATATTTTCATTCAGAAGGACCTTTCAACGTCCATATAACTAGAAATGGTCGAGATGTACTCGGAAGCCCATTTAAGGTGACTCTGGAGAAAGGTGTCATGGTGAAAAGGAGTAAGCTGTCTTTGATTGGTTCTGACATTGACTGCATGAGAGTAGTTGGAGGCGTTCTCCAGAAAGCCATCGATATCAAAAAATCGGAAATTGAGTTATGGGGAATACCCAGTATAACCGCCGACTTGTTGACGCAAGAGGCACTGATGCTGGCGTCGATGACCGACAGTGGAACGTACATCTACGTCTGGGATGCCAGCTGTGGCAGCCTTGCGGAAGAGAACCTTAACTTTTGGTTGCACCAGCTTACCGTCTACGCTCCCTCAGCCAGTGTGATTCTACTGGGTGTGAATCTCAGTTCCACGCACGCCAATGAAATGGACTTGAAGCCTTTCCAGATGGTAAATCCACAGTTAGGTCAATCCATTTTCGCCGGCACCACTTTCACATCGGAACCAGTTAAACTCTTGGAGGAAGTGTTACTGGTGGCTGGAGGAACGAACACCTGCCTAAATCCTGTGTGGCACCGATTCGAGTCTCTGGCATCTAAAGTTATCAAGAAGAGAGAGAGTGGCGTTGAAATTCTTGACGAGACAACCTTTAAAGACCTTGCTGGCGAATGCGGCATCCACGGCGATTTTCTCTGCAAGGAAGCTGTTGAGCATCTTGAGATGTCAGGTATAGGTCTTGCTGTAAGAGAAAGACCTTTCTTCACAGTACTGCAGCCTCTTTGGTTGGCGAGACATCTTACTGAGATTGCCAAGACAAGTCAGAATGGATCATTAGACAGGAACCTCTTAGGTATGCAAATGTGTGTGTGATGAACGTTGGTGGTGTGTTATTTTCAAAACCTCTAACCTTAACAATAGCTCTGATTTAGACTTCATTCTTACATTTACAAAAGGTTATTTTAAAATAGGTCAAAGGCTTAGCGTGTACTATTGAGTCGTGGTCGAACGTAGCAGGTTGCTAAGCACGACAATCGCGTAACGACGAGTGCAACTCAAGCTTCTTGAGTGCATAGCAGTCCTCCCAAGTGTACCCATAACTCAAACATAACTCAAAAGTACACGCTAAGGCGTCTTCCATTTGTCTTAAACCATAATCAAAGGAGAAAAACATATTTGCTAACAGATAATAAGGTCGGGAATGACGTGAGTGTTGCCATCCGCGCGTATCATGGCGTATGCGGCTCGTTCTTTTCAAACTCTTTTCGATCGAAAATGTTTTTGCTGAGTAAGTTATTTCCGCCTTAATGTGGTTTGTAAAATCCTTTTTACGTTATCTTCAACGACTTTTGCCACTTTCTCTATGCAAACAAAGCATAATCATGCAGAAATTGGTGAGCATTCACTCATGGGAAAACAGTTTGACTCTTGGGGGGTGAGGGGCTTTCGCCCATTTTCCCTCCCCCACCTCCGACGACTTGCACGCAGGTCACCGTACAGCTCATCTGTTTTTGGCCCGTCTGTAAATGTAACATGGGATTTAATGGTGTTACAACAAAACTGGTGTTTTCCTTCTTTGTTTTTTTTTTAATAGTAACTGATTGATCGTGCACTTTCGTTTCCTCAGACATACCCAAGCAGCATGTTGTTAACTTCCTTATCAGAAGACGCCTAGCTTTGGAACAGCTCGACAAGAGAACTGTTGATATCATTCCTTACCTGTCGTCCGTTCCCGAAGAGAGCTGGCTATTGGTGGATAAGTCAAAATATACGACTTTTAGACATCTGGTGTTGTCCGTTCCACCATATCACCTCCATTCAATGTTTCAAAATCTCGCTGCTTGTATCCTGCAAAAATTCCCCTCTGTATCACTTGGGAAATACACGCTAGTATCCTACGCCGGTCAGTTTCACTTCCGTCTTGACTGTGGTCCTTGTATCGTCAATAGGAGTGTTGCAGAGGTGCGCTTAACAGTAAGAGCGCCTGGTCAAAGCATTTGTACAAAAGCCACGGAAGAAGTTTTGTGTTTTCTCCAAAATTGTATCAAGGAATTAGATCATTCATACGAATTCACCGTTAAGGTATCGTGCAGCGTGTGTAGGCAATACTATATTGATTTGATCGAAGTTCAAGAGGCGGCAGGACAAGGCGAGACTGAACGTTCGTGTGGGCGATGTCATGGCAACCAAATGTCGCTTTCAGACTTACTGAATGGTTTCACTGAGAGTCGACCAGCACCAAAATTTGATTGGCGTCCTTTTTATAGAGCTCTAGATCCAGGTTTGTATGTACACCAGACTCAATTTACCTTTTTCTTTCTAATCAAAGATCAAACGCAGCTTCTATAGACGATGAAGATTGTGAAAACTTTAGGTGTAATCGAGTTTGACATTTAAAGAAAAAAACACGTTAGTTTTCCACTATCAGTCCGAAGTTGTTAGGCACAGTTATTGTCATGATTATTATTTTTTATGTTTTACGTTTTTCAAATAAGCTTTGTTCTCTCTAGGATCAATGAAAAAGATAGCGTACGTTGCGAAGAATTTTGGAAGGCATGTCAACCTTGTGTTTCCTGAGATCCACTTTTGACTCATACCAATTTGAAAGTAGAGAAGCGATAAAACCTCCATCCAATATTTCGCATTTTATTTACTTGACAATCGATTTATTTACTAACTTAAATTAATTTTTATTCAACTTTTTGTTCCTACAGGAAGTCCCTACTCCAAGAACGATATTCCCTCCGCAGACACTCTGTTACGTCCCTTGATTCGCTACATTGGAGATAGGGAGGACAGACAAGAGGCAAAATTGTTGGGGGAAATAAAAGGGATGTTCGAAAACATGACCAAGGCGTTCGTGGACATGAAAAACGTAGGTTTGTTGTTTATAAACTCTACGTACATAATGGTCAAGATTACACATGGTATTTTGGTTAGTACAATGTATTTGAAGCCGTAAAGTTTCCAAGATATGTTCACAAATTTTATACTAATGGCTGTTTTGTTTTTTGCATGTTTGTTTGTTTGTTTGTTTTCCCCCACGTTGTGCGCAGAAGAGTGAGAATGGACCTTCTCGGCGAATTGAAAGGCTTCATGTGTTTATTAGTATGCATCCGTCGGTATCATCACCTCGGTTTTGACTGGCTACAAGCCCGTGTTTGATTACTGTTAGCACGTTTTCTCTCCCTCATACCTACGGACAATTGGATGAGGTTTTTGTGATATCCAGAATATTTTAGGTCAAGATAGGTAGCCTACGAACGGGCTTCCATGTAGAGCGGGGGCAGGGGGGGAAGAGAAAATCGGCAAGCGTGAGCATGAGCGTGAGCGCGAGCGCGTGGAGCTTGTAGACTTTGTTTTGTTGCCGCCCATCCGCCCATTTGCAATTATCCTGTAACTCATATTTCAATAACATGTCATGTACATTCCGTGCGCAAACAAATTCCACAGGGGGCCCTCACAAATTGTGGGAATATATCATGCGATGAATTCTTTTATAAAAGGTCGGAACAGACATCTTTTTACCTGAAATGTTGTGTATTATTGTTCTTCCGCTGAAAACGGCGAATTATAGCGATTTGAGGAGTTTCACCTTCGACGTTTACCTGACCGTATAGTAGAGAGACAGGTAAAGGTCGAATGTAAAACCCCTCAAGTCGCTGTAATTCGCCCTTTTTAGCTGCAAGAATGACCTCATAGAAAAGAATTAATCGCATTATATTCAATTCCTCTAAATTGAAAACAGTACAACGCTCAAACAAATTGTGTGGGCCCCATTTGGATTATTCAATTATCTGCTAGCAGATACCTTATCTTTAGGTTGCGCTGTCTTTCTAAAAAGAAACTTTAGCTAGGCCCTTAGCCAATGGGTCGACAGATATTGCAATGACTTATAATAGAGAAGTGAAATTCTTCGCTTTTAGGTTGCTGGCTTGCTATAATTGTTTATTATCATTAACCTCTTTGTTTTTCAGTACGACACTCCGAGGACTGTCTGCATTCTTCCCGAATTCCAAAGAGCATCTGTTGCTAAACGCGGTGCGCTGAAAATGTTATTGACGTATGGCAAGCCAAAGTACCGGCTCTTCCTTCTTTGTGAGGGGAACGGGGATGGAACGGGTGTGCACTTTCTAGACTACAGCAGACACAAGGGTTACAGACTAGAAACTCCTTTAGCTGCTGCCTTTATCAAGGATTGTGCGGAATTGCTGAGGTTTACTTTCCAGGTGCTTGCTGTCGCTTATTTTCGAATCCCTCATAATATACGCTGTTTGGTCCCCCCTCTCCCATATATTCGATATATTGTTCTCCGTTTGCAAGGTCCATTAGAAAAAAAAATTGATCCAAAATGAACCGCGCAATATTTCGCCTTTGAACATGCGTTCTGTTGCGCACTGCGTTACATCATTATTGACCAAGCGTCAGGTGAAGATGGCTAAATATTGACCACATTCGTTTTGCGTTTCAGTTTTTATGGATCGAGAAAAAGTCCAGAGTCAATGACAAAGCACAAAAGAATGAGGCCAGCATTAGTAGTATGGTAAGGGATGGTATGTACCTTTTTCGCAGGGGAATCTAAAACCGATGACGTCATAGCCTCTTAATAAACTGTGGAAGAATCTCATTATAAGGATAAGGTCATGTGCCTTTTGAAGTGGTTCAACCGGTTCGATGGGTTTGTGCCATTTTCAAGTGGTTCAACCGGTTCGATAGAAGATTCATGAATGTCCCGCTAGATATTGAGATTCCCCGGCATAAAAGGTTAATTTCATCCTTACCATACTTCTAACTTCAAGCCATCTTGACCGAACCGAGAAGTTTGATCAAAAAAGGATTTATTGTTATATGGCCAAAAAAAAGCCCGGCGTTTTACCTGCTTTACCGCTGGTGTTCCAACATCAGATCTCCCGATGCCGACATAACAAATAGATCATTAGAAGCACTGGGTCCGGTTCCTCGAAAGATGGTTAAGTTTAACCCAGGATTAACCCAATTTTAAGTAAGGTAAAGAACAGATTCTTGTACGTTGATCCGGAATTTTTTTTCGACAACTCGGAAATGGGGACCAATGCCATATGACAACACAAAACGTTACTCTAAGCAATATATAGGAAAGTGAATACATAAAGTGGAACAAGATTTTAATCCTGGGTTAGCGCTAATCGGCCTTTCAGGAACTTGGCCCTGGTATCTATATTTTATTCATCTGATGTTCCTTCTGATGAGCTATCGTTGCTTGCAAAGTTGCTATTCAGTGCCATGACGTCGAGTTCACTGCAGACCCTTTTGGACCTTTCCAGACAGCCTTTTGAAGATGTCCATTGTGCCGTGTTGAAGGTGTTTACAAGCCTTGCTAAGTACAAATGGGCTCAGGAACACATGACAACCTGTCTAGCCGTGCTAGAATGAGATCATAATGACTCTAGTACAAAGCATTATTTGCAGTGTTTTAAACTAATTCTAGTAACTAATCGAATCGTATTCACAAATAGTGACTGAATAAATTAATGCCATGTTTCTATTGGTCAGTAAGTATTAAAATGAAGGTCCAAAATAGCTAACAAAAACAAATAACAGAGGAGTCTAACGGGTTTCATAACCATTCCACTTTAATTGCTATGATCTCTTCAAGTTCTGTCCATCCTGCCTCCTTTTGTAATTGCTGTGTTATTTATACCTTCTTTTATAAAGTTAAAGCAGTTATTTTAATGTTTCACTCAGTTTGGTGGCAGTTCTCACGGTTTTATTATTATTATTATTATTATTATTATTATTATTATTATTATTATTATTATTATTATTATTATTATTATTATTATTATTATTTATTTTGATATATAATTTCGTGACATAGTTCCTTTAAACTGTTTTCAGATTCTTCTTTCTATTGGCGCCGTCTATGCATTTGGAGTTGGCGTGGGTCTCTTTGCGTTGAAAGATGTTCAAGAAACCTTAACCAACCTGCTCGGTATTACAGAGAACAGCAGTGCTGTGCTATGCGCTGTTAAGTGGAAAAATATCTTCAAAGAGGTTTGTTCGTATGAATTTAATTTTTCTTTCCGGGTTCTCATTTATTATGAACCAAAAGAGCTTAAAGGACAATTGAAGAAAAAAATGTATCCTTTAGTTAATCATTTCTTAGATAGCTCTATGTAATTGAAGATTTACAAAATATGTAGTGATACATAACCATCGTTGACATCTCAATTTCGTCGTTGACACAGATGGACGGGTTTCTAAAGGAAGTCCAGGAAAGTTCAAGCTCAATTTCTCAACCCCAGGGCCTCGAGACGCTGTCTGGAGCAGGGCGTGGCTGTCAATTGGGTGGTAAAAACTACGAGCGTCTCCGAAAACTTTTGTCCGAGTGGGGACCTAAAGATGACTTCGGTGGATTGCGACAGGAACCTCGCGATGGATTAGGAGCAATCTGGGTGTGTGAGGAACACAGGAAATACAGCAAGGAAACTAGAAACGTCATGGTCATGCCATGAGCTGAGGCGAAACTAAGGGCGCTTTCCAAGAGTCAGAACTGGCCGGCCGGACCATGGCCGCACCAGTCATTTTGACACAGCAATAAGCTTTTTCAAATAGTTTTTGCTAAAAAAGTCATCTTCGTGCTTACCATTTAGGACTTAACATATCTGGCTGAATAGTTCTGTTTAAAAGTGAAATTCTCATTACGAAGGGAATGGTCCGGCCGATCAGTTCTGACAAATGAAAACCGCCCTAAGAAACTATTTCTGGCCGACTTACTACCTTTACGCCATTTCGAAAAATGCTCAACAAATCGAGCTCATAGAAATGACGAAGTAGTCGCAGCAGTCGTCAAATCATATTTCCCTTTGTAAACGGTCGTTGCTATTTATGTTGGCTTGACATGAAGTACTTACCTCTTCAACGGTCGATGCCACCATTGGTAACCAACCTTTAGTCAAGATAGATGTAATATATTCCCTGGGTTAAGTTACCACAAGGCGCTTCTATAATACGTTGTTGAATAGTCTTAGAAAGAACAACGTTGAAGCCCAACTAGAATTTACGTTAAAAGTTATGGAGAGGGCTAGGGAGACCTGTTATTGATATTTAAGTTACAACGACAGTTGGCTAATTTTTGTTTTTTGTTTTGGAAAGGAAGATACCCTGCGAGCAGAGGCTACATTTTTGCTGTGTTAGCTGGCGTACGAAAAGTAGCCTGGGTACTTTTCGCACGCCCGCTCACACTGCGAAAATGTAGCCTCTGCTCGCAGGGTAAAAGGAAAAGGGATTAGGATACAAAAGGCTCTAGGTCCGGGTTCGACCCTAGGTTGCGATTTTCGTCGGCTTTTTAATAGAAACACATTCAATCTGACAGGTTAAAAATTTTCCAAGTGTCTAAAAATGGTAGCGACAGTTTACGAATATTTCAAAGGACAACTGGGTCGTTGACGTTGTCGTAGTAGGGAGCTTTAGCAACGATGACGACGACGGCAACGATAACGTCGAAAAACAAGTTGTTTTGTAAACAAGACAACAGCTTTGCAAGTGCATCACACTTTTTTGGTAATACACTGCTCGTATTTGAAGAAGATCTGTGCCTGACTTAACGTCCCTTTATGTCCTGAAACTACCGAGGAACAGACAAAAGTTTTGAAAATGGAAAATTTACAGAGATTAGGAAAGGATGTCTTTAAAATGGTTAATAATCTAAACCATAGTTAATGGAGGTGACTCTATTAACTATGTCTAAACGAACAAAAAATCAATTAATAGATTCAGTTTTCATGTAATGGGAATTATGTAGATCGAGGAGGTTCTTCATATCATAAGAAACGCGAATAGAATACCTACTAACAATCAACTTGCCTTTGCTACTCGCGTTTTCAGCAAATATTGGAGAGGTTAAGCATCAGGTTTACGTCAAGGACTAACGCGAATTTGTACCACGTGACCAAGTTTCCTCTTTACTTGTAGTTTACGGTTCATTATTTCTTCACAAGCCATAATTTAGTAGTTTTACGCAATTTTCAATCCATAAGAATTGTTTTGAGCCGTTTTCAGCTGCTTATTTTCTATTTTGAAAAATTCTTAACTTGAATCTGACGTTTACCGTTTGAAATGAAGCTTAAACCCTCTCTTGATATTACCTTGCAATACGTAATATATATCTTTGGCGTCATCCACGCTAGTTCCAAAATTGACGAGATTCGCACTTTGCGATATTTGTGATGGTGATATTAGTGATATTTGGCGTAAATACCACGAGCGATATTTCGAAATTGTTATATGTAATTTCACGAGCTGTTAGGCGAGTGAAATTTGAGACAATTTTGAAAGATCACGAGTGGTATTTATGCCAAATATCACTACAAATCATGCTGTTATTTGTTTAAAAAGTTACTACCCACAAAGGTTTTGTAATTTTCGCATGTAGGTATTTCAAATTAAGCTGAAATACCACTGCTCTAAGCCAATCAAATTGCAGAAATTTCTTATGTAGTAGTATAAAAGTATAAACACCTTTTTGAAAAAATATAGATTCAGTGTTTATTAAGTCAGATTGTTAAGTCGGGTTAGATTGTGTTCTTTCTGAGAAACTCATTTTCGTATTTTGTGAATAATCAAAAAGGGCAACCTTACATACTTTGAACAACTCTTTAATTTGCTTAAGAAACAGTCTGTCGTCTTCTTTAAAGGATTAAAACTAAGATGAAATAATTGAAGGCGTTCGTGAGCCTTGTCTTTTTGTCCTCTCTATGGATTTCAAGCATTAATGTTAAACCCCACCCTTAATCATGGTGACAAAGCAATGAGAGTGACTTTTTGGATGAGTTTTAAAAACTGTAGCTAAATGCTAATGTCGTCAGCAGGATTTTTTAACCAAATATCACGTTTGGTCTGGAGAGCATGCTTGATTCGAATAGTTATTAGACTTAGTTTAAAACACTGCTAACAATGCTTTGTACTACAGTCATTATATGATCTCATTCTAGCAGCTAGTACCTTCTTTTTCAAAATTGTTATCGATTTTTGCTTAAAGTTCTTTCAGTGTTTTTGTCTTGTAAATTAAGTACCTTTTTTAAAATAAATTTGTATAAATATCACAGTCAAGCTATCGAAGTCAAGAATGTCTTCAAGCTGCGTTCGATGCACAGCTGTTCTAGTCTGCTCCTTCGAAGGCTACAGCGGCCTGTACTCGGACGTAGAATGGACCTTCGCGTTCATATTCACGCAGTCGTAAATGAAACGGCTTCTCAAACGTTTCCTTGGAGAATGGAGACCGCAAAAGTGCTACGATAAGTTCATACTTCTGCTCTTTGCCAGCTTTGTCAGTTTCTGTACTCCTGTCCATCAGGTATTCCAGGAAACCTGAGAAAAAGAAATTTCCTCAGAAGTTCGTTTTAAAGTAGCACCACGTAAACTTACTTAGATAGACCCAAACTCAGACAAACAAAATTGAAATTAAAATAGCGAATTCCTCACTAATGAAGAAAAAAAAACCACACGAACAAACAAATAACAAAACTCACTCTGACATCATTCTTGTGCTGTGCTATTACGCCCTTTGGGGTTGGGCAAGTGCTAACAAAGGCTCGATGCTATCCAAAGGTGACCGGTCGTTTCGCCAACGTCACGTTCGCTAACGTCAAGTCGTTTCGCGCACGAAACAATTTAATAATAATAAGAAGAATAACTTTTTTTGGTGTCGATGTATTTAGCTTAACAGTTTTAATAAGCTAATCGGGGACACTCTCCTAAGTGCTGGCACTAATCTGTTACATGATTTTTGAATTAATGATCTTACTTAAAACCTGAAAACTATATACAAATGTACGTGACTCAGGATTTACACAAGTCACAGCAGTTAATATTATTATCTATATGGCTCGAAAAGTCCACACCGCGTATATGTTTCTTGAATGCTTTGAGGCTTGTTAAGTTTCTTAGCTCACCACTGACCTTCGACCAAATAAAAGGTCCCTGGTACCGCAGCGAATGCTTCCCATAGGCCACTGTATCAAAGTGGGGTAGTTCAAAATCCGAGTTTTTTAGGCCTTGTTGTGTACTATTGATCCTGCATGAACAACTCAGAATCACACCCTGGTGACAACCAGTATTTTACGTTATACAGTAGTATTGCAATTGAAAAACGAGTGCTGTACATATAACTCGTTATTTAAGCTATTGTTTTTTGGGGGGGAACTGACCCAGCACGTTGGCGAACCCACTTAATGCGTTGGCGAACAGGACGTTTGCGAAACGACTCGTAGGCGAAAGGACCGTTAATCTAACCAAAACACACTCACAAGGTACTTAACGGCCATACTGGAAGAGATATAGAGACGCACTGGGATAAGACAAACAAATGAAATAACCATTTTTGCCAATGCCTCTCTGCTCTCCAGCATGACTGTTTTATACCACCCACTCATATGGCAATTCCTTACGATATGAAGAGATGAAGAGAAGTATTGGCCGGTTTGCACCAGCCTGTAAATATACAAAAGGTTCACTCTGTTGCTTTTGTTTCCATTAGAAAAGCATTTTGTTGCTCTCGCTACATTTCAAGCACCTCCATAAAGTAACAAAAATAAATATAACGTGAGAAAAAAAAAAACACAGAGCAGGCTATTTACAAGCAAGGCCAAGAAGTTACTTTCGGGACTACCGAGAAACAATTACAAATCTATCTAGTGAATAGAGTAAGACATAAATCTGCCTTGTGAGTTCCTCAGCCTAAGTCACTCTGCCTTCCTGAAAACTTGCCTTGGGCCCGTTTCTCGAAATTCCCGATAACTTTTCGGGCCCGAAAAGCTGTTTATGTTTGCCGTGTTTGCATTCAAGATCAAAGTTTCAATATTAAACTTTGAAGAAGATTAGATACAATGAAAGTATCAGTTAAGAAGCAAAATTGGCCGTTTGTGAGAAAGGAACTGTGCTACTGTTCAACAGTTGATTTTAAAATTTGCCTTCGGATACGAGAAGTTACCGGGCCTTTCGAGAAACAGGTCTCTGGTTGGTAAAAGATGCTATTTTACCTGGACACGTTGTCATGTGTTCTTGAGCCCATTTGTACTTAGCAAGGCTTGTAAACACCTTCAACACGGCACAATGGACATCTTCAAAAGGTTGTCTGGAAAGGTCCAAAAGGGTCTGCAGTGGATTCGACGTCATGGCAGTGAATAGCGACTTTGCAAGCAACGATAGCTCATCAGAAGGAACATTGGGTGAATAAAATATAGATACCAGTGCTTCTAATGATCTACTTCTTATGTCGGCATCAGAAGATCTGACGTTTGAACACAAAATTTTCATCACCTCGTCATTACGGATTGTGTTGTCAAAGACAACCCTCAAGCCTGCCTCTGACAGTGAAACAGCACCGACTGTTTCTATTGCAATAAGCTTAAGTGCTGGATCACAAGCTGTCAGGAAGGAGAAAACATTCTGTAGGAAAGCAGGGTACTGCTCTGTCACCTCCACTGGTCTGGATTGAGCTAGAAAGCCAAAAAACCTGATGATGCCTAAAGGGTAAAAAAAATAAGATACTGTATTTATTTGATTAACCGCCCTGGGCCCTTATTAGATTTTTGGACGTTGAGAGTACGCGCTTATTTGAGGCTGGGCACTTATTAAATTTTGAACATTTTCAGCAAGTGTAGTATGTTTATTTTGCAACAAAACAATAAATGGTACTAACAAATCATGAAGATGTAACAAGGCAAGGTTTCTGTAAAATACTCTGAAGAAAACTCTGTCTTATGGAAGTCTCTTATTAGTACTTATTCAATTTTGGGAGGGTGGGGGGGAAGTGGGTGGGGTGGGGGTGGGCACTTATTTGAATCTGACTGGGAGTGGGAGGGACGTGGGGTGGGGGTGGGTGCTTAGTCTAGGCTGGGTGCTTGTTAACGTTCTGCCTTTAGGATAGGTGTTTATTCGAGGTGGGCGCTAATTTGAGGTTAGGCGTTTATTCGAATAAATAAGGTACTTTAAGTTTGTAAACAATATAAAACATTCATCACTTAAGGTGACTTGACCCAGTTATTTTGTGAGGGTACCATCCTACTTTGAAGCTCTCTGGTATCCCCACCTTTACTTTTATCGTAAGTCTAACACATAGAATGGATAACATATAGATCAATCTACAATATAACATAAAATTTTTGGCGATCGGAGTAAATGTCACGTGGTTATAATGCCACGCCCCTTTGAGGTCTGAGTCGAAAATCTGCTGTTGCCGGCATTTTTTCGTGAAAATCTCTCGGCTACACATAGTGCGCATTAGTGCCTTGCGCTGAACAGAGTTTCACCAAAATCGCAAAGACCCAATTCGAGAAATTCAGCGGTTTCCAAATTTAGGTCATAATTTATGCGAAAATGATAAGCAAACTTTACACGGATTATATCTAATAAACTATGAGATTCATCTCTTTATTTTGGGCATCGTTATAACAGATGGGTCCTTGCAAGTCAGCAAAACGCTTTAGGGCCTTGTAAATGCGCGCGATTTCGAGCAAAGCAAACATATAGAAATTATAGTTTTCGCTATTTGTTGACGTTTGTCAGCGTTTAAGAGTCCTTCTCACGAAAAAAGCATTTTCTTAAAAATTCGTAGTTTTTTTTCCTTCAAATTTTTTCAGGGCCACAATTGATTAACTAACTACCCGGACTCTGAATTTCATGGTCATTGAAAAACTGTGACATTATCTTCTATAAGCCCAAACTTGAGTAAACATTGAAGATTTTTAGCGTTTTGGCTGAGTTTGTGCTTTGGGAGTTGTCTATTGTTTCTAGTCTGTCATTATACAGCATTCTTGTTCAGCACGCGTGCAATGACCGCGCTTGGCTGACTTCCGAATGCTCACCGAGATATAATAATTTTGGTACAGTGAGACAGGCCATCGCGTGATACATAGAGGTTTAAGTCACAATTTTTAATCAATTCTCGTGCTTCTTGTGCCTTTGCAAAAAAATCAAGAAGTGCTACACACTAAATCTACTTACTATTAAAAAAATATCATTTTTTCATAGGTTTAATGCAAGCCAATAATTAAACCAACTCGTGACGGGAATATCTCGGTGAGCATTCGGAAGTCAGCCAAGCGTGGTCATTGCACGCGTGCTGAACAAGAATGCTGTATAATGACAGACTAGAAACAATAGACAACTCCCAAAGCACAAACTCAGCCAAAACGCTAAAAATCTTCAATGTTTACTCAAGTTTGGGCTTATAGAAGATAATGTCACAGTTTTTCAATGACCATGAAATTCAGAGTCCGGGTAGTTAGTTAATCAATTGTGGCCCTGAAAAAATTTGAAGGAAAAAAAACTACGAATTTTTAAGAAAATGCTTTTTTCGTGAGAAGGACTCTTAAACGCTGACAAACGTCAACAAATAGCGAAAACTATAATTTCTATATGTTTGCTTTGCTCGAAATCGCGCGCATTTACAAGGCCCTAAAGCGTTTTGCTGACTTGCAAGGACCCATCTGTTATAACGATGCCCAAAATAAAGAGATGAATCTCATAGTTTATTAGATATAATCCGTGTAAAGTTTGCTTATCATTTTCGCATAAATTATGACCTAAATTTGGAAACCGCTGAATTTCTCGAATTGGGTCTTTGCGATTTTGGTGAAACTCTGTTCAGCGCAAGGCACTAATGCGCACTATGTGTAGCCGAGAGATTTTCACGAAAAAATGCCGGCAACAGCAGATTTTCGACTCAGACCTCAAAGGGGCGTGGCATTATAACCACGTGACATTTACTCCGATCGCCAAAAATTTTATGTTATATTGTAGATTGATCTATATGTAATCCATTCTATGTGTTAGACTTACGATAAAAGTAAAGGTGGGGATACCAGAGAGCTTCAAAGTAGGATGGTACCCCCCCAAAAAAACTGGGTCGAGTCACCTTAATGAAGTTTCGAACTCAAATCTTCTTTCATGACAGACGAAAGGTACCCCAAACTGCTTTTTAAAGAAGCTGTACCAGTTTTAACACTTTCAACACTGTTAACAAAATCCTTCCATAGCCCAAAGACTAAAATTAAGGCTGCTTTCAACAGGCTGCACAGTTGACAAGGAAACTAATTTGTTGTTAGCCTGCCAGGTATGGATCAAGATGATTATGTCCTCTTTGGTTAAATAGGAAATGTCATCAGAAAACAAACACGTGTTGCAGTTTTTGCCTTTCAGTCACTTTGGTCAATAAACTTCACAGCAGAGCCTACTGATTTAAGGTACAGTGGTGTATTTCCATTGACTTTGCATGAGTGAAGATAGGTGTAAAATTACAACAAAAATGGCCTTCAAAATCATCTCTTTTATGTTGAATGACAACAACTCTAAGTACTGACTGGAAAGTATTAACAATCCAATTCCAGTTGGTTGACCTCACCATTTAAACCAGCTTCTTTAATATAACTCTGTTTGTTGTTTTGTTGTACAGTACTTTCAGGTTTTAAGCTTAAAAAGCTGCCAAACACAATAGCATGCCACAATAAATAATGTCAATGATCACATGTCCTACTACTTTCCAGAGGTGGGGGAGGGAAGCATTATTTCTTGAACAGTGGCTAATAATCGAGCTCACTCGTGAGATTATCTGTTATGAGAGCATTAATGGCTGCTGCAAAAAATACCATAATAATATTCTGAATTCACTGTTGGGGCACTGCTTCATGTAAACCCTACTTCTGCATTATCTTTTCTGCATGATTTTGAATATACACTGTACAATGCATCATTTTGCTGAAAAATTCCCGATTCAGCCTACTGGTATTTGCCCACAAACACAACTGTGCTAACGTTCAGCACTGGTTTTAAGTACAGTCTAGTGCCTTTGTGTTTTTAATACACTGAGGAGTCTGGCAATGAGGACTAAAGGACTCTTAAATAATTAGAGACAGAGCAACAGGTTCTAGTGCAAGCCTCCAAAATGTACCCTTAATTGTGCTATTGTAACAAAAAAAAAGGCCAGAATTATTATGCATTATAGATTACTATAGTATTTTTGGAAATCAGCCATAACTGCACATGCACAAACGATAATGTGAATGTGAGGTTTACATGAAGCTTTACCCAAACGGCAATTTCATTTACAAAAATATTATGGTACTTTTCAAAGTGGCATATTTGGAGAGAATTCTCAATTCTAGACACTTACTTGGTAACATAAGAGACATCAGAGGGTCAGCATCACCACTTAGTAAAAGGTTATACAGCCTTTTGACTACACCAATCTCTTCAGCAAACATCAGACCATTTTTCCCTGAATCAGCCATCTGTGTTAATAGTTCAATGCAGTTTAAACGGAGCAACATATCATCACCATCTAGCTCTTTTCCAAGCTTCTCCAGGATTCCACACCTTTTGCAGTATTCAAAGGCTCTGTCAGACAAAGCCTGGATAGTGACTATCAACTCGTATACTCTGAAGCGAATGACATCTTTTTTCAACAGAAGGGCCTCGAATTCACTTTTAATCTGGTGTTGAAATAAAAGTTCGAGTCCTGAATCATGTTTAGCGGTGTTGACCAGAGTTTTTGTAGCTAACTTTGCACAGGAAAGGTTCTCATCGCTCAGAGCACGAACGGTGTAAACCAGGACATCAACGTTGTCTAGAAGAGCTTCAAGCCCATTTATTGTGGCAGAACATCTTTCCAGCTCACTCAAACAAAGCTCACGGACTTCAAACACTGGATGATTCATTCCTTCGATGACAAAGTCGTGGTACTGCATTATGACTGCGTCTGCTTTTTCCAAAGACAGCAGTTTCTTTAGGATTCCTTTGCACACATCAATTTGTTCTTCGTTTTTAGCGCTTAAACACCCGAAAAGCAAATGTACCGGGATGTGGGGCACCAACTCCCTAAGACTGAAGGAAGGGCTGTTGAAAAGCGCACTGAGGTCCTGTAAGGCTGCCATCAGTTCTTGGCCAGATGAAATTGAAATTCTTTGAACAATTTCCCCACACTTCTCGGCAGCCATCTTTGTCAAAGATGAGCCCACGATGATTTTGCTCTAGCGGTGTGCGCCCAAACAGAAGGTAAGTACGTCATGTATTGGGAATAATTTTTACCGCTGTAGGAAGCCCTTCCAAAAAAAATTTCATTTCATGTTCAGGTAGCTGAACACAGTTTCTCTAGCCTGTGTATAGCCGTCCCCTCCGCTCATGAAAAGGGAGGGGACGGCTGTACACATTCTAAGTTTTATTTATCATGAGGACATATGCAGCCGAGCTCTTGGCCGAGGACAAGCTGAGAAAAATGCGCAGAAGTTGTCAGTAGAAATACTGTACAGTCGAACCTCTATATAACGAACCTAAGGCCTGAAAAAGAACCTCGATAAAAAGAAAACCTTGGTATAGCGAACACATTTTGCCAGTCCCTTGACCCTTCGTTATATCGAGGTTCCCGTTGTATCCTGTTTTGGTCGCCTTTGAAAGAGCGTGATCTCAGCGCGCGCACAAGGGTTATCGGGGGCGCCAACCGCGGAGGAACAAGGATCGGACGTCAGTATTAAGAGGCGCACAATGCTGCCGCTTCAGTCCTTGATTCATCTCACTTCACCCACTCAGATCAATGAAGGGGTTCGAAAAACGTGGGTCTCGGAAAATTTTGCCCCGATCTCGAAATCTCGGAAGCTTTTTTAATGAGTCTTGAAGTTTCGTTTTCGAGTTTGATACAATTTTTTCGTCTTAAATAGAGTCTATTTTTTTCTCGGATTTGTCATTTTTTCGTTTGGTTTCGAGAAGTCTAGCCTGAGAAAACAGCCAAAATTTGGCGACGCTGCCACTGGCTTCCCCGCCAAATGACGTCTGAGAAACGAGCGCAGAAATTCCATACTGTGGCCTGCGTACCATGGCGGTTTGGTCGAACCGGGCGCACGAGCGGCGAAGCCGCGAGAAAAATAAAGTTGCTCCAGCCCCAAACTCCGCGTGGTTTCTCTGCCCTCGCCCTCCTTTATTACTTAGCGCGCCCAACGATAACCGCCATGCTACGCAGGCTATCCATACTGATGACCCGTCACTACCCGGATCTGGGTAGTGCTTTCACCGTTTTCAAACTTTACGCAACAACCTCCAACAACATGCAACAGGGTGTGCAAACGGATGCAACATGTAACATCCAACAATGTTGGGAGTTGTTGGCCAACAATGTTGAGTCCGTTTGCACGAGGCTTAAGGATGAAAGAAACAAGGCTTAACGTCACCGCTCAATGACGCGATCATCTGAACCGAGAAAGGGGATTTAGTCACAGCTGGCATGATCTCACCAGATTTTTAAATGAGACTTTGGTTGTTGACAATTTACATCGGAAAACCAGTTGGTTCACGGTTTGGCTAAATGGTGAGCAATTTCGTCCAGAAATCGCGTTTACTATTTCTACAAATCAGTTCTATTTACCGAAAAACGGCCGCGAAAGCCTGAAACTGGTATCAAAGATGGCTTTGAAGAAACTGAACACGAATTTCCGTTTGGAATATTCCGTCCGGAAAAACTGGACTACCTTTTTAAATGTTTCGTTGCGTCAGAAAAATTCTCGTGAAGTCGCGCTGCGTCAAACTTTATCGCGGTCATTCCATCTCGTTCGATTCGTCAAATGTTAACATTTTTTCCTGGAGGCTACAAGTTTGATCGGCTAGGCGTCTAAATTGTCGCGCGATAAAGGTGTTTCCGTTTAAACGCACGAATTTTCGATCGATGTAGCCTGCCTCGCAGACGCTCTAAACCTATATGGTTTAGACAAGTGCGTGGGCCGACTGCAATGCAGGCTAGTCCGGTGCCGTGTCATAGTAGCCTTAAACTCCCTACTTGATGATTTGACGTTGGCGGGGAAATAACTTACTTTTGGTCACTGTACTCCTTACTCTACAGAACAGCTTCTGTTTTGTGTATTGTTAGGTAGTTACGTGACAGACGTTCGAAAGGGAAAGGGAAGGGAGTTTCGGCGCGAGACCGCCGGCGAGGGAGAAGGGAGGAGGGGAACCCCTGCAAGGACGCTATTGTTTGTTAGGTTGTCTCATTTTTTTAATTGCTTTCTTTACCTTCACTTATTTCCTGCCTCGATTTTTTTGCTAATAGTCCTTATTCACTACATCCGCCATCTTTGCACGCGATTTAGGATCGATGAGATAAATGCAATGTCACGTGGGATTTAAGGGGGCAACCAAATGATAAAATTTGCCAATACGAGTGATCGCAATCGAATTTGATCATTCTGTGAAGACAAGATGATGGCGGGTATCGTGAATAAGGTCTATTTGTTGGGTATTTGTATTGCAACTTGTAAATAAAGTTTTTGTTATAGTTTGTTTGCTTGTAAAGGGAAATTTAAATACGTCTTAACGAAAAATAAAAGAGCGAAATTAAATCCGTTTTGCATTGAATGCCATACGACGACGAAAAACAAAATACAAATCCGTTTTTCAGTATGTGTTATAGGAAAACGAAATATAAGAATCCCTCTACCAGTGCCATATGAAAACAAAACTCGAAAGGGAAAATTCAAATACGTATTCCAAAAACATAACAATACAAGATGCCACGGAAGACATGGAATTCCGTTTTCCAATGCCATACAAAAACGAAAATTAAATTTTAATTCCATTTTCCCATGCCTTTGAAAATCGGTTGGCACGGCTGTGTTTGATGTCGTCACCCATTGCTCGTCCCCATCTCTTCCCTTCCTTGTTTGTGGGTAGGAGCTTTGCGTGCCGACCCTACAAAAACACTTTGTTTTGTCACATTACGGACTCAATCCAAGGTGCTTTCTGACGGTGCTAACAACGTCGGAGACATGCATAAATTCCTGCAGAGTAGTGTTCCTGCTTCTAAACATGACTATTCCATTGCTCAGTGTTGAATCAATGATTGTAACACAGTATGGGGTCCCAATTTCGTCATGGTAAGCGTAGCACTCATTTGTACTACCTTGCAATAGGCAATGTGTGGTGATACCTGAAAATATCAATTGAAAGGAGAATAGACATTCAACAGGATGAATAACATCCTTCATTTTGTCACCCTTTTTTTAAAAGGCTGGTTTCGAAAGCGAGCGAAGGAAAGCGCAAAGCGAGCGAGGAGCGCGAGACACGCGCGATGGCGGAAGGCGCAGAAAAGATAAAATTGAATGGAACAAACAGTGGGGTGTGGACAGGCGTCCTTTTTTCTGCGCCTTCCCCCACCGCGCGTGTCTCGAGCTCTACGCCTGTTTCGTGCTTCGCTCGCCTGAAAAACGCCAATAAATCGCGCCTGCTCTGAAGGCTAAGCGTGCCAAATGAGCCAATCTTGTTTTTTGATTGGCTACTCGAGCGGGCAAGATGGACTAGTGGCCGATCCAGGGGAGGGGCCTGGGGGTTCCGCCCCCCTTATTTTTAGACCAAACTGAGGTTCAAAAGACCGTAAAAAAATTTGTTTGAGAAAGATCTGAAATGAATGGCAGAATGATGAATGTATCAGTATGTATATAATAAAAACAAAAACAATACCACATGGAAAGTGTTTTGTACGATATTTACGCACTTATCATTCGTAAATAGGGAGTTTAAGAAAAAGGAAAACGACGGCCGGTGTGATAACGTCACTTAAAAAGCACATTCGCGTTACTTCAAACTTTATCGCGCTTATTCCATCTCGTCCAATTCGTCAAATGATGGCAAATTTTTCTGAAGTTGAATTCTAAAGGAATGTGTCGAAGTAAAGAAAAAGAAAAAGAAAGTCGTTGTCTTTTGTTCACGGTCTCCACAAAGCGCATCTCAGGGTCTGGACGACCGGGCCCCCTCCTTATCTAAGGGTCTAGATGACCGGAACCCCTCCTTATCTCAAGGTCTGAAACTGGAACTGTATAGTGCTATGCTACATACACTGTAACACAAGTCTCGCGATAATATTGAAAATCGCCAATATCTCTTTCACTAGCTCTTTCACTTACCTGCTTCTCGAAGTTCTGATGACAGCTGTAGTGCCACATCACAATGCTCCTTTTGTTGCGGTGTTTGACAAACAACAGCCACCTTAATAGGAGCCAGACGTGGGTGCAGATGAAGCACTGTGTACACGCCTACATTGCCACTCTCGTTTGAACGCTCCTTTTCCAGGTATGCATCCATCAAAAACGAAAGAAATCCTTTAGCAAGAGCAGAGGGTGCATGTTAAAAAAGCAATTTCAAACACACACATACTGCAAAACAGCTGTACCTTTAGCCTATGTTCACATCCTACAGTATACCTCTTGCGCCGGCACGAACACCACGCCGGATTAGCCTCCTCCGCAGGCTTCACCATAGACTTCAAAACAGTCGGGTTTTTTCTCAAAACCAGTGAAGAAATCGGTAAAGCGTGACGTAAAAGTCTTAAGCCCGCGAAGCGCGCAAGTCCAGACCTTTTGTTTGACTGCTCGCGCGTACTTGAATGCGCAAAAATACGGACTGTTTTGCAGTCTAGCTTCACTGTGCTCTTGTAGAGAACAAGTTGGAGAATGGGGAGAGAACAGAAAGTGACGGTCAGTGTAACCGTTACAATATGAGTTGCCTGCGCAGGAGGCTAATAGGTGAACGACTTTGTGACGCCAAGGCCCGTTGCTGTTCATACTATATACGATAGCTTTGATAGCTTCGTGTCTACACGAAAACCATCCAGTGTAGTGTGAAGATAGCCTTTAAGGAGCTGAAAATTCATCAAAATTAAGTACCGTTAAAAGACCTTAAAATGATCAAAAATATTAAAGCTCAAAACATTAAAAGGGACGGTATATATAACACATCAAATAGAAAAGAAGGCAAGGATTAGCAAACCTAAAAAAGATAAAAAATGAATTAGGAGCCCATGGGCACTTTTGGTTTTTTGTAAACTTGACTTGTTAGCCTAACATTGACAAACTGTCTGACCTACATACATATATTACACTGTAAAATACAATAGGATTGAATATAGATATTGTAGAAAACGTAATTCAGCCACTTAAGACAGAATCCATTAGTAAATTGAGTAATTCTAAAATTCAGTGGACAAAAAATCTTGAACCAGAATAATTTTGATCATATTGCATTCTTTTTCCCATTTTTCAAGGGCTATAGACGTAATTAGTAATCTGTAATAACACCAAAGAAAATTTCTTATGAGCGCACGCGAAAACAAATTTCAAATTTCACAAAATGACATCTTACACATGTAATTTTCAGAATTTTATCTGTGTTTTCACATTTTGTGTGAAATATGACATTTATCTTCTCAGGCTATCATGAGAAATTGTCTTTGGTGTTATTACAGATAACTAGTTATACCCATAGCCCTTGAAAAGTGTAAAAAAAGAACGAGATATTGTTTAAATTATTGTGGTACAACTTTTTTGTCCACTGAAAATTAAACTTACTCAATTTCCCATTGGATTCTGTCTTAAAGTTTCACTTATAAGCCCCCCTCCTCCCACCTATAAGGTCATCGACCTGTCAACAAAAGAATACATCAAGCCATTTTAAGCCCCCCGGCCCTAATATAAGTCCCCTCCCCCTCCCCACCATCTAGCTTGCATTGAAATAAAATTGATTCATTAATGGAGCTTTGAAGTTCAAATAACCAGTAACTGCAAAACGTATTTTGATCAGCACTGCTATAGCTTGTTTTGAAGTGCTCTTTTTCTAATATAGACCCCCTCAGATATAAGCCCCTCTGTTTGCAAGCCTTCCTAAAACACCTTATGAAGATGTATAAGCTCAGGGCTTATAAGCAGCAGTTTACTCTATCCAATTTTACACTGTCTTAAGGCCTGGCCCCGGTTGTTCAAAAGTTGGATAGTGCTATCAATGGGATAAATCGCTATCCAGCGGAGGAGTACGAAAACCAAATGCTTTGTCGACTGGATAGTGATAATTTTTATATTCAGTGGATAGTGCTATCCCGTTTTTGAACAACTGGTGCCTGGTGAGTTGGCCAGGACATTTTCTAATACCTTTATTAAGGTCAGTTTTGATCTGGATGGCATGTAACTTTGATTCTTCACTAAAGGGAAGTTCACTGCATTGCTTGGTGTCCATGTGTTGATCTTCTAGTCTATATTGTTAGTACCTTAGTTGACAAAGAACAGGGGTACCTTTACGTATGACCTTTCTCTACTCTCGTAAAAATTGCGTTACTGGAGCTTCGTACTACTATTACTACTGATAACTACTACTAGATGATGATGATAACAAAAGCTTATATACAGAGGAGCTCCTGGACATCATCATCATCAGTATCATTAGTACAAGATTTACAACAACCAAAAAGATATGAAAACAAAGAAATAATAATTATTGGTACAATGAAACCCTTGTTTCAGGTAAACCCCCCTCTAGTGAGTGACCACAGGACCACCAACTCTATGAGAAAAATTTAAGAGAGTCTGTAACAACCAAATGTGTTACACCACATGGTAAAAACAAACAAAACAACAACAACAACTACTTAGGAGAGGTGTGACAGTAACAGCTGGAGCTGGCTACCAAATTGGCAGTTAATGTAATTCACTCTTCAATTGAAAGTCTTCAGAACTTAAAGAAAATGTCAAAAGAAGTAGTAAAAAACCATTTTTCAGGTGGCAATAGTAGAGTAATCATTATTGGGTAATTTTTACTGTCAATATTCTCTGTTCAGATCTTTTAAGATCTTTGATTTTTATCAAATTTTATATTTATTTTCCTTTACTTTTTATAGCTTTGATATTTCTTGTGAAGCACTTTAGAGCCATGTATAATGCACTATATAAATAATGAATTGGTATTAGTATTGTAAAGACCTGCAAAAACTTTGTTAGGCTCAGCACAACAGAATCCCTATATAAGAAAGACTGTAAAATGATAAGCAATCATTAGATTCAGCTTTGATATGATATGAAGAATTATGGAGGAGGGTGTTACTTGCCAAGACAGAAGGCAGAAGGCATGGGTACTGTTCATTTAAGTGTCCCTCCCTAGTTTGTACTTGGTAACCTCACCTGTACAGAAGTTTGACTGGTCAAACCAGGTTCAAGATCTACCTGTTCTTCATACAGACTGTAATTTGAGCGAGTGTTGGCAAATCTTCTCCACCAAACAAGCCTCTGTCTTTTCCAATGATTTATCCAATCATTTACTCTATTTTCAGAACAAATGAACTGAAGAAACATTTCCTCCATTACACAAGATCTACATTGAGAAAGATATCAATGTGAGGGGACAAACTTTAAATTTGAAGCCTTTAAGAGAAGAGGATGACCTATGCGATGACTGCAATGGCCTGCTCTCCAGTTAGCTTGATTAGCTCAATGGATAGTCAGCGTTGCGTCCGGTCATCGCAAAGGTCAGGGTTCAATCCCAAGCCTGTTTTGATAACAGACAATTTGAACCTTTTTATACTTAAGCCTAAAACTAAGTTTAAAAGGACTTGTATGGAAAACCACTCAACCATGGCTGGATGTCAAGAGTTCCTTTTCTCATACAAATCCTTCAAATTTTTTACGGTTGTTACAATTGCTTCTTTTGAGATATACCGCTGTAAATTTACAGGTTACCTAATTTTAATATGCTCTGTGAGTTCCTGAAATTATTTTAGGTTCTTTTTCAACCATGAACACTGCAGGTTGTTCATTCTACTGTGAAGATCATGTTCACTTTCATCTTTTCATCCACAGTTCAAAAAATGATTCATTTCAGTTATCTCAATTCATGTCCACCTCATTTATAGAAAAAAAGATTTCAAGACAAACTGATTGGTTTAAAACAGTTTTCCTTGCTCAACTCTCTCCCAAATTTTCATTAGCACCAACAAGACAGCTTGATAAAATTCAAAGTCTCTCAATGACACTTATCAAGACCATGCTATCAGTAGTGGTGAAAAAACATTTGCCAGTACTGTAACCAGATGGAAATTCTCACTGAGAGAGTGATAATAGGTGCTTCTCAGCTACTCATTCATGTGGTATAAAACTGCCATACTGGAGAGCAAGGGATGTCCTGAGACAAGACAAAAAAAAGGCTTACATCAATTAAAACTGTCCCTTGCTTGTCTTGTTCCAGAGCATCTCCTGCTCTCTAGCATTGCAGTTTAGTACCACGTGAATAACTAGCTTCAAAGGGCCTATTATTTGTTAACAAGGTACACACAAAGAAACTTCAAAACGAGAGAGAAAACTGCCTTGGTTGCCCCTGCACTGGTCACAGAACTGGTTGTATTTAACATGTCTAGTCTTAGAAATCTGATGCCTTACTTTGCATCATTCATTACATGAAAAACATAACAGATCAGTCTGGAGTTCTTGACTTTTATTCAGTCAACAGCCAGGGCTGATCAAGTTGGCCCAAGATACATGTACAACATTAATGTTCACGTGATCTGCAGTTCCTCTCTCTCACTTGCTGTCAGACAGTTTAGAGTCACGTTTGCAGCAAACAGCAAATAACAATTTGTACCACGTGACCAAGTTTCCCCTTTACTTGTCTTTTATTGTTAATTACTTCTACAAAAAAATTGGTAGTTTCACGTTAGTTTTATCCAGAAGAATTTATTGCTTTGGACTGTTTTTATCTGCTCATTTTCTATTCTGGGAAATCCTCAACTTGTATCTGACATTTGTCAAATGCACGACTCTAAATCTCTCCTTTAGCTAACATACCTCAAACATCAACAACCCATACAAAATAAGATTGTATTGAGAATTAGAACTTGTAAACACATTAATAACAACGAAGCAGAGAAAATCAGGAAAGTTCAAGTTTCTGGGTATATGCCCTAAAGCGGATTTCCATCGTCATTTAATAAGTATGTGCATATTTTATGCATGTATGCACATAAAAATTGTGCGATAGTGGAAATCCACTCTTAAGTACATTGTAGGTGGGGAATATTTTGCTTTTGTTTCCGATAAAAATAGCCAGGGTTTATGCTCATAGTAGCCCAGGAAATCCCCAGTTCCTGGCCTTATGAACGGTCCAGCTCAGGGTTTACATGTACATGTTGCAGTTAATTTTTTATTTCAGGTAATTTTTGTTTTTCCATTGTTTTTAGGTATGGTAATGTATGCTAATAAATTTGAAACAAAGGAAAAACAAAAATTACCTGAAATAAAAAATTAACTGCAACATATAGGACGAAGCATTGTGCTATAATTATTACTCATCCACTTACAGTCTTAGCTTCACTTGTCTAGTAGATGGCATACCTAAAAATATATTTATCCTTTTCTGGCTTCCCAAAGTAATTTCTGTTTCTCGCAATCCCAAAAGGTTTTTGGATCCCAGGAATGAACCTTACCAATGAGGTAAGAATGTTGGTACTCTCTGAAGTCCACTCGGTTGAAATTGTAGGCTTCTCAGTTTTCCCAAGATCACTGATCACGTTCCCTTTGTCGTGTCCATTACCCACGTAACTACGGGCAGACGATCCATTTTGACCATTGAGTGTATGGATAATTTCTCCAGTCGTTTCAAAGCCATAAATGTTTGCTTTTGACTGCACCACATCACACCACCAAGCGTTTCTCAAGTTACGCCTCAGCTCTGTGCCGAGAGGTCCAAATTGGTAAGTGTACGTTGTTCCAAGTGGTCTTTCAACGCAGGATTCCATTGAAAATCCACGGGTTTCGCAGAGTCTTACAACCTTCTCAAGCAAACTACGAGACATGAAGAAGAGTTAGATGGTCAAGATACTCACATCTTGTAGAGAATTATAAGGAAAGTCTCCAAGTGATTTTACGAAATCCGCAAAGTTTTGCCGCCGACTTTGCCGCCATCTTTGATCCTCGTTATTGATACCGCTGACCGCTGACAGAGAAGATTGTGTGGCGCCTTTGCGTTTAAATTCTCGTCAGCCAATCACTATTGTTTTAGAAGCTGAAACAGCCAATCAGATAAGCGCTGTATTCGAACACGACCTCACGTGAATCGCTTGCAAACAGCATCAAAGAAAGATGTCGTAAAGTTGCTTGTTTTGTCATTGAGGTAAGAATCATTTTTCTCCATTTTGTACTGTGGATTCCTCTTTTTTCGGTGATTTTTCTCTTTTATCCTTTTGGACGAGCAATTTGCGTGAGTCGCGTCAACCAAACCGTGAAATGTCGATTGAACCTTACCAGACTCCACGCAGTTGATCCTTGGCAGTTGATTGTAATTGTCGGTCGCAGAAACATTTCCTTGAAGTTTCAGTTAAAATTTGAAAGCGTTACGAATAAATAATGCAAGTATTTAATGTCTTTGGCTGTTTGCAGGTGTATATAATTAGAAGTCTAGAGTTAAACTGATTTAACCTAAGTTAAGCTTGTATGTAAGCTTATAAAATGTGCTGGTTGACGTTTAAGACATTTCTGAACTTGCCACGCTAGGTTTCTATAAGATTTACACCTCCTTTTCGCTTGCACGTCAGAGTATGTACACTGTAGGAGACGATCCTCACTTCGATATTGGGCTTCGGTATGCATCTCCATGCAGCTGGCATGTACGGATCACTTATCTTAAAGTGATCTCTTGTAGCCATTGTACTGAGAACATTTCATGCAAATTACTGTAAACTGTAGTCCGGGAATTTCTGACATCTGTTTGTATAATTATAATGTACCCCGGGGATATACAGTCTTTGTGCAATTCAGCTTAAACCTCTGTCCCAATAGCCCTTCTGACAACATCTATTTCATTGTATTTATATTAAACACTTTTGGGACTGGAAGAGTTAATTTAACCCTTTCAGTCCCAGTGACCAAATTGCAAAGTCAAAATTTAGCGAAAAAAAAATATTAATAATAATAATTCAAATGCTCCAAATTTAAGAGAAACAAAAAGCACCATGACGTATGAAACTGGTAAGTAGATTTCTTTTGAAAGGTTATCTACAAGATTTCACCCTCATGACTGCAGCATGAATCCTGTCTCCTACCACCAGTGGAATATATAACATACATAGAGGATATTACATGGCAGCGTGGGGATACGAATTTTATCTTTGAGTGCTGAAAGTATCTCTCACGAGTTAGCGAAGCGAATGAGTGAGAGATACTTGTGGCATAACAAATCAGAGAATCACAATCCCAGATATAGGTAGTGACACACGTCATCAGTATATAAGAAATTCTGCACATGCTCATTCCACACATGTCATTGTGTGGGGAAAGCAGTGGTGGTGTTTTCTATTTTCAGCTGTTTTCTTAAGCTAGCAATTACCTATAGTTACTCATGTTGTACATTAATGTATTATTGATTTGATTGTCAGCCTACAATAAGTTATAATAACTTGTGTAACTCATCATTAAAAGCTTGTTATGACTTTCCAGGTTTCTTATGAGGACATACAAGCTGATTGATTCTTTAAATTGGCCATGTAGGTTACGTTCAGTTTGCAATTTCCATTGTTTTCTCAAGACCTTTTGCAACAATTATGGAACCTGAGGCAACAGCAATTCAGAAAATCCAAGATAACGGCAATCGCCCAGAGGATTGGCTGGAGTTCCTGTCCAAACAAAGAACAAAGTCTGGCCCAGATCTTTCCACTGAAACCTGTCAACACTTAATCTTCCTTTATGAGAGAGCTGCCACTCAAATATCAGCTGAAGACAACAAAAAGAATTTCTCATATGCTCGTCTTCTTGTGGAATGTGCAAAACTTCAAATGTAAGGTTCTAATAACTTTACTTGTTAGTACTATACTTGCTGCCTGTAATTAATGATCAGTTTATGGAATATTACTGTCAAACCTGTTTTAAGCAAAGCCATATTAATCCCTCACCCTCCATTATGTCACTTCTAATTACTTAAGTCCCAAAGGGTAATTTTTATTTTTCTGTTCATTGCTTTCACCTCTTTTAAACAATTAACCTGAATTATATATAAAGCATTCAGTTGGCCATTTCCCAAACGTCACACCACTTTACACAAGTTTAATTTCACCTCACAGTTTATCAAAAAAGAATAATCAAAATGAAGATAATTATGTAACACATTTAGCCATTGTCCCAGTTTTTTAAAAGGTGGATAACACTATGATTTCTATCCACTGGATAAATCACTATCCACTTTTTATTATTATTTTATTTTTTGCACAGTAATTAAAGAAATTAAAGTCAAAGTACATGTACTGTCTGGCAACTATGTCTTGTTTTGACTGGCTAGTCATGGCGACCTCACCACAAGTGAAATTGCTTACAGGATTGTACTATCATGTTGTGTTACAGGAGAATCTCAGAAGATGATGCCAGAAGAACATTCCAGTTGGCAAGAAGCAATGCAAAGCACTTTGCTATTGTGTTTGTTGCATGGGCTCAATTTGAGCTGTTATTAGGTTTGTTTTTAATACGTTACAATGACAATGATATTTAGAATTATATTATAATTATACCAAGTAGAGTATACAGTCAGGTAGTTCTGTTTTAATTGTGATATAATCTTTAATACTTCTTTTAACTTGTTTTAGTTTTAGCAAAGGTGTTCCTCTTCATATAATGTAAACATGTGTTCAGTATTAAATTATGATCACCATAGCAATTTTTATTATTGGATGCAGCCGAGTTATGGTATGGAAAATTACCCACTGATCAAGGAGGGTGTTTGACCAAGGTGGATATTAAAAACACCCTGCGAGATCTGCATAATTCTTCATGTCATGTCTGAAAGCCAGTTATAAAAATTGTTTTATCTTTCATTCAAACTATTTCCCAATCAGTCAATAAAACATGCACGCTACAGTCATGCTTACATGAATAGCCCGCGTTCGATATATTAAGATTCTAACATGACTCCAACGCTTTCTAGCCATTTTTCTAGATTTGATTTGGTTTTCTTGGTGCTCAAGTGCCTTCTGGGAATTGCAAGACAATGGAACATGAAAAATTTGCAACTTTGACCCTTAAGCCTCGAAGTCGTGTTAGAATTTGTTAGAATTGAAATTTTGTTAGAATATTGAACGTGGGCTATTACAACAGCCGCCAAAAATTAGAAGGATTTTCTTGTTTTTATAACAGACAATTTGAACTTTTTTATGCTTCAGGGAAAGATTTTAGGACAGTTTAAAGCTTTCAAAATTTACAAGGATTTGTATGGAAAACCACTCAACCATGACTGGGTGTCATGAGTTATTTTTCTTGTACAAATCCTTGAAATTTTTGACGGCTATTGTGATTGCTACTTTTAGAGATATACCGCTGAAACTTAACAAGTTACCTAATTTTAATATGCTCTTTCAGTTCCTGCTAACTAAATTTTCCAAAGGTGAACTATTTTTGTGTTAGCAGAAAGCTGATAAAGTGTCTGATCAACTATTGCAAAAGGACAATTCATGCTGGTTTGCATTCAGAAAAAGGAGACTAAAATTACTGTATCCATCGTCCATTACAGGAAACAAAAGCAAATGTAGAGGCTTGCTTCGCAAAGGAAAAGATTTTGAGGCAGAGCCCAAAGAGTTGCTGTTAAAAGCGTATGATAACTTTGTTGAAGGAAAAAAGATTTTGATAGATGACAGAGAGGAGTTGACAGGCTTCACTTACTTTAGAGGCAAACAGAAGAGTAGTGACTCTTCAGTTGATTCTTCTCCTTTAAGCACAGGTACACCAATCTAGAGTTATAACTCGTTTTTCCTATTCACATGAAGGTAAACAGGTTGAAGAAAATGAGATTCAGCATTAGAAAGCTGAATGATTGGCTTTAACAAGTGATTTAATAGTGAACTTATGATACATCATTTCTGCCTCATGGGTAGACTAGTATCTACCACAGGCCAGTGAACATGTTTGCCATTTCAATAGCTATACAAAAGGAGACTATGATTCCCTAGATGTGGTAATGGCATCACTTTTCTACCTGGTAGCAGAGCCATTTCTCTGAGATAAAAGGCAATCTACCTAAGTGTCTGTTAATTCAAATAAGCAGTGTAACTGTGTTACCTTGTTGTTTCATTTTGCACTGAATTTGTAAATTGCCAAAAATCAGTATGCAACTTAAGTCTTGTATAACACTGAACTGTAAACAATAGTAAACAATGCCACATTCAACTAAACACCTTCAAACAATTCATGTTCAAGATTTGGTGGAATGGAGCACATGTCTTAGTCTTTAATAGCTACCAGTACTCCACTGTTGTAATTTTACAACTAAAATTTGATTTTTCAGTGAATTCCCCTTCTGATTTTCTACAGGTGAGGACACATCAACAAGCTCTCGATTCACTGACAGTGGCAGTGCCAAATTCGCGGACAACACCAGTGCTGTCATTTCATTCAAGCTCCCCAGCATTCTAGAAAGCTGTGGTAGGCAACCACTGAGCAGTAGAAGAAGTATTAGCAGCAGCAGTGATGAAGCAGACACAATTCCATTCCAGAAAGGTCATTTTAGCCATCTTCAGAGGGGCTGTCAATCTACTCAAAAAGCATCTGTCAAGTCTACACCAGACGTTAAATCAGGTGAGTTGGGACACCCTCGGGATGCGACAAATTTGTCCGGTCCATGTCATAATTCTAGAGGTGACCGCTTACATGACTAAAAAATACAGAGTTTTTATGGGAGTCAAAAAAATGGAGTTTTGTGAAGGTGGCCGTAAGTAGAACAGTCCGTTTACAAGAGTGTCCGTTAGGAGAGCTTCCACTGTATTTTGTAAAGCAAACTCCCTTTTTTCATCTGACTTCTGACATGTTAGCCTGACAGTGTAGCAGGTGTTTCGGTTCTTTGTATTTTTCGTTTGCAGAAGCTGAGCCGAGGTCAATCAAGAAAACAAGGAGGGAGTGGGAAGGGGGAGAGGAAGAATATAGAGAGAAAGAGCAAGGCTTAGAACGTCGGCTTGGAGCTAGGCCTGCTTCCCCTCGCCCCCTCCCCCTTCGTTTTCTTCTTTGACCACTGTTCACAAAGGCTACTGATGTGTTTTTTTATGAAATCTATTCAAAACTGTATCAGTCGCTGAGGTTTTTTTTTAGGGCGCCACAGATATTCCAGGCGTAAAAATATAAAAAAATAAATAAACCTGGCAACTTCAATGTAAAAATGCTGGGACGCAAGGTGTCTGGTCCAGCGGCTATTTCCATATACTGGTACTATTTTGCCCTTTGCTCAAACCACCATTTTGTAAAAAATTGAAACCGCAACGTTAAGAGTTAAAAACTTACAGGTTCTCTTCTTGTTTCAACGCCTTTCAATCTGGTATTTTTAGGGTTGCGTCCTATAATTTTGGCATGAAATGGATCACGTGACGCTGAGCTGCAAACGGCTTATTTAATTACTGTAAATCAAACCTGATTGCACCTGTCTACTCCGCCTTCCTCCGTAGGTAGCAACAGCCTCGCTGCAAGCATGAATTTGTCTGTCCGGCGTAACAAGACGAGACGTGACTTTGGTCTGCCAGTAAGGGTGAAGATGACGCTTCCATCCGTCAAGGAGCCTGGTGACGATCTTGACGGTATCAGTGCGCTGGAGTTAACAGTGGATGAGTCTCAGCAAAAGAGTCAGCCTGAAATGATTTCAGTTGCTCAAGAAGCAGCACCAACCAACGGTAATTCATGTGTTGCTTCTACCTGTCATACTGCAGATAGAAAAATCGATGAAAAGCCCCTTACTGGGAAGTGCCTCCACCCAGCAACGACTCAGAATCAGTTTAAAGGCAAACAGGACGACTTTGAGGAGAGTGTATTCACATCACAAGCACAGGGTAACCAACTTCCTAGTCAGCAGCCAAATAAAACCTTGCAAGAAGGTTCACAGACAATTCCAACAAACCCTCTGTCAGCAACCTTAAATAATGGCAGCAGAACACAGAATGATCATTCAAGTCATCGACAAACATTTCCAATTCAGCAAATTCCCACCCCTCAAGGATCAACTGCACTCGTCTCCAGCAGCTCCATCGGATCAAGCGTGCTTCAGAGGCCGAACTCAGGTTCAATGCCACCCAATTTGGGGGACAGTGGCTCCTTCATTCAGCATCCTATCCCACAGGCCAACCACAGTGGACAGTTACAAGGGATCCTGGGCCAGCTTCGTGACAATGGATTTGCCTCTGCGTTCACGCCAGAAATGCATTTTGTCAACCCAATGATGCCTATTGCACCAAAGGCTCCTCAGGGTATTATTGTCGTAAACGGTAAAACTTACCAAAAGTTGGGCACTATCGGCAAAGGAGGCTCCAGCAAGGTGAGTGCTTTGGGATCTACTTTACCCCAGAAATTGTAGAAATTCAAGAAGATTATTAACTTCAGTGTCGCCAAAAAAATGAAAAAACTAATAGAAGCAAGGACTGCCGGAGAGGTATCATTTTAATGGACAAAATGGGTTGCTACTGAAAGTTTTAATACTGCATGACCCCATATTTAGGACAGAGAGGGAAAAACTCTACCTCGTCTAGCGGCGCGACCCCTTGATCCCATATAGGGGACGTCACGAAACCGTAGCCTCCCACGCGGACGTTTTTTTTTTGCTCGTCACGCAATCCTCATCTGCGTGGGAGGCTAACCCAACCCCGAATAGCGTTTACTTTCCTTAAGGCTACTATTGTTTGAGATACTTGAATTTATCGCGGATTTAGGGGACTGGGTATTATTTGAGTGTCTTAAGTTTGCAATTTTTGCTTAGACTTTGCTGACTAATACAGTAGCCTTCCAGCTGTTTTGTTTTAGGGCTAGTTTGCATTGCTTACTTCGTTTTTACATTGTTTTCCCAACCAATCCCGTGAGGTCTTCTAAGAGCTGCAAGGTCGTCCCCTACTGCAAGTTACAACTGCGGCAACTAAATTTTGCTGTTTGCTGTATACTCGCCAAAATCGCCAAATTTAGTTTCCACAGGTAATAGTAGCCTTAGGTTGGTGTTTTTTCGTGTGCGTGCGATGTCACAAGTACCGAAATGTATTCTCTGCACAGGTATATCAGGTGTATGACGGCAAAAGAATTTGCGCCTTAAAGTATGTGAACCTGGAGGAAGCAGATGATTTTATCGTTCAGAGTTACGTTAACGAAATTAATCTTTTAAAAAGACTTCAAGGAAATGATAACATCATCAAACTGTTTGACTGGTGAGTACGGTAATGTTTCTAGTCCTTTCACGCACGCACAGTAAGGAGCTTTAGCAAAGACTTCGGCGACGGCAAGGAGAACGTAAAAAAAAAAAACAACAACAACAACAACAATAGGTGTAATCAGCAAAAAACAACTTTGCACGTGTAGCACACTTTTTTTGTACATTTCTTTGCCATCACTGCACGTGTACGACGTGAATTTCCCTCAAGCGACGTTTTGTAGAGGGCGTAAACATAACGCAACGAACATACCTCCCTCCTCTTAGGGCCTGTTTACATGGAGTGGCAGGGACCGCGGAGCAAGGTGAAAAGTGGCAGGGCTGACAATTGAAAATATTTTTTTCATATTGAAAATCGAAAAAACGAATAAAATCATAGTATTTGATTTGTTTCTGTCGCGTGACTTTGCATACTTTATCCAGTGTATTTGTTGCTCTTTATAGGTCGGCCAACATACACGGTCAGTTCAGATTCAATGCAAGAAAAGACGCGATTACAATTTAAGTATAGAAAATACTACACTGAAGTGATCTGTAAAATTTCTAACTATCGCCGTTCACTGTTCAAGTAATGTAATTCTTCTTGCCATCGAATATTTCATTGATTCGAAAGGAGAAACTGACAAAAGATAAAACTTTTATCAACTCAAAACAACTNGCGTGCGATGTCACAAGTACCGAAATGTATTCTCTGCACAGGTATATCAGGTGTATGACGGCAAAAGAATTTGCGCCTTAAAGTATGTGAACCTGGAGGAAGCAGATGATTTTATCGTTCAGAGTTACGTTAACGAAATTAATCTTTTAAAAAGACTTCAAGGAAATGATAACATCATCAAACTGTTTGACTGGTGAGTACGGTAATGTTTCTAGTCCTTTCACGCACGCACAGTAAGGAGCTTTAGCAAAGACTTCGGCGACGGCAAGGAGAACGTAAAAAAAAAAAACAACAACAACAACAATAGGTGTAATCAGCAAAAAACAACTTTGCACGTGCAGCACACTTTTTTTGTACATTTCTTTGCCATCACTGCACGTGTACGACGTGAAGTTCCCTCAAGCGACGTTTTGTAGAGGGCGTAAACATAACGCAACGAACATACCTCCCTCCTCTTAGGGCCTGTTTACATGGATTGGGGGACCCCGGTCTAGTGGGGTTGGTTTCTTTTGTTTTCACGCTCTGGAGGACACAAAACAAAAGAAACCTACCCCACTAGACCGGGGTCCCCCACTCCATGTAAACAGGGTCTTAAACTTGGGTTCGGTCTCCAAGAATTCAATTCCAGGAAAATTCACCTAAATTAGACATTTTCGGCGAGTCGGAATAATCGCGACAAAGTTTCGTCGCCGTAGTCGATGCTAAAGCTCCTTAAAATTCACTTTTGTGAGCGCGCAATTTGGTTGACCCAATAAACCTTTCTTTTCCTTTACTGAATAGGGAGCTAAGCCAAGAAAAAAGCGCTATAATCTTAGTTATGGAGTGTGGAAGTATTGACCTTGCGGGCTTCTTGCGAAAAAACCGCAACAAGATGTCCAGAGGAGAACTGCAAGGATTCTGGAGGCAAATGCTGGAGGCTGTTCATGTGGTCCATCAACAAGGAATCATCCATAGCGACTTGAAACCCGCCAACTTTCTTCTTGTCGAGGCTCGTCTAAAACTGATTGATTTTGGGATCGCCCGTACATTGCAAGTAAGTAGTACCACACCCTTCCAGCTTCGATGACGCAAGACCTCGTCAAGGGACGAGTGATTTTTTCCCATAGAAAAGCAGCAACAATAACAACAACAGTGTGTATGTCGTGGTTCAGTTTTAATCTTTAGTTGCAGTTTTATTTCCCTTTGTTTTAGGTTATGGTAATGTATGATAACGAGTTTAAATGAAAGGGAAATAAAATTGAAACCAATCATAAAAGTAAACCACAACATACAAATGTTAAACGACAAGTCGCATTGGAGGTTACGCGGACATTCACACGCTCAGCCTCACTGAATCACAACAAAGGTTTGGAACCAATTTTTTTGTTGGTTGAAACAGTTGATCAACCAGGACGCGCAAACATCTAACCAACCGAAAATGGCACACCCTAATCATTGGAGCCGTTTGAGTTTCTGAGAAATTGACCACCTACCCCTCCCCTAAACCAATATTTTGCCGTAAGTGAGAAGTTTTAATGTTGACTTAGGGGAGGGGTAGGAGGTCAGTTTCCCAGATGCTGATCCCATCTCTGTGTATTGTCGTTCGCAATCATGTGGGTAATCGTGTTATAAAAACATAATTCTAAACTTTGCGGCTAAAAACTGGAAGAACTGTGATTTCAAATGAATGTATGGTTGTCACCGTGGTAATTTTAATTTAGGCAATTGCAAATTAACCCGAAGAAAATTTCGGGACTTCAACCGTTAGTTGTTATGTACCTTCATTAGTGTTGTCTCAGTGCTGTGGGAGTGCTTGTGTACAGGTTGAAGAGGCACATGCAAATAATTGCAAACCACATAGTCATTAAGATGGGCAGCAACAGCTTTTTCAATAAGTTTGGAAACATACTTGAGATTGGACACACTGAACGAAAGTCAGCAAAAACCTCAGGGTCAGTATTGGCTTTCTTTAGCAAAGGTCGAAGAATTGCGCATTTTAGTTACCTTGAAGTCTCACCAGTAGTAAGTGATAAGTTAATAATCCTCGTAAGCATAGGTACTAAGGTAGAATAACACCTGGCCACGATGGATGTTGGTAGAGGGTCAAGTGAATGTTCACGACTTAATTGATCCAGACTTGATCAAAACCGAGTAACTCTGTTAAACGTTAGCGGTTCAAGAAACTTGAATTCTGAAACACAGCTTGAGCTCAAGCAATTAACAGGAGTTGTGGTTTTTGTCATTCCATTGGCAGACCGGCCACGCGCGATTTTCCCGCGGATGCGTTCAATCTTCAGCACGAAAAGTCAGCAAACGCATTAGAAAGTTCAGCACCATTACTGGGTTTTGGATAGCAAGCTTTAGAGTTCCTCTGCAGAAGCATATTCACGGACTTAAAAATTATAGAAAATTGAGCCGGCGGAAATTTCATGACAACCTCCCGTGTGAATTCACTGCTCATTACGCATGCAGGAAAGTAGAGCTAAATCTGAAATCTGCCACTACCAACGGATTCAACTTTCAAATAATAAATTCATTACTGGAATCTTGGGGGGTACGCTTGACTTGGCTTGACTGTAATGGTATACATGTAAATGCATGGGTTTTCTTACTTGACCTGCAGGGAGACAAGACAAGTATAGAGCTTGACACACAGGTTGGGACGTTGAATTTTATGTCCCCAGAAGCCTTTCAAGATATTTCTCCTCGTTTTGATAAGACAGGAAATGCTAAACCAAAAATGAAGGTAAGTTTAGAGTAGAGTTTAGTTTTACAAACTACGAGAAACGTAAATGGAACACGACATTCCGTTCGGAAATTCCAACCGGGAAAACGGGACCATCTTTTTAGATTTTCCACTTTTTCTGGGAGTTTTCCAGTGGGACGAACCGACGAAACGTGTTCCATTTACCGCCGAACCGGAAATTCCGGAAATTTTGACTTAATGGAAAGCGTCTCGAGAAGAGCGCGCTCAGTTCTCTAACAGCGGCTGGTAATAGAGCCAACACGACACTCAGCTTTTTCCCTTCTCTTATCTGACAAAAGATTGGCCGACCTAGTGACGTATGGTCTCTTGGATGTATCCTTTACATGATGGTGTACGGTCGCACACCGTTCCAACATATTACCAACCATCTTCAAAAGCTGCAATGTATTATGGATCCTTCTCACGTCATCGAGTTCCCGGATATCAATGACAAGCACTTATTAGATGTCATAGAGGTTTGTTTAGTAATCTGTTCGTGTTTTACTTAATATTTACAGTGTATTTATTTATTTATTCATATTTGTATTTATTTTTATTTTCTCGTTACATCTAATAATACAGAAAACTGATCTACTTTGTCATTAGGTCCTCGCCGCACTCATTTGTAACCTTTACATTGTTAGACCGTTATGGTCATTCATCTAAAACAGAACCCGCAGTACGATTTTTGTCAAACTTTACCAATTGGCTGTTTATGTTTTAAAAACTTAAATTTTGATATATAATCAAGGGTCCCATGCTCGTTTAGGATCAGGAGCAACTTGTACACACCAAAAGATTCCCTAAAGGGGATCTGTGAGACGGAGACGCGGTTAAGAGCTTATTGCGGCTTCGCTTAATGCACTGCAAGTCATCTTTGGATATCCCAGGAGCATCATTTCGGTACGACGAGATTTTCATGAGAAAAGTTACGATTTCAACAAAAATTATCTAGTCCTCCAGAATAGCTGCTTTTGGGTTCCCAGGGATGAATACATGTTTGACCATAGCTTGGTTAACGGCCGCACTTGATCTTGTTGATTTTCAGGGCTGTCTTCGCCGCAGTCCCAAAGAGCGCTACACCATTCCGCAGCTTTTAGCTCACCCTTTCATTAGCTCCTCAGCGCAAGGGAATACATCCTCGTTTTCAGACCCTTCGGTGGAAATAGACTCGGACAGAATGTTTGACTGCCTGATGGAGTTTGCCAAGGCTGATGTCAACTCTCCTCGATCAATACGAGCTCTCAGTCAGGTAACAATTTACACTGTATGATTTGTAGTGCTGAAAGTTTTCTTATAGACGTTTTCTCATATCAGAAGTTCACAACGGGATGAAACGTGTAACTCGCGCTCAATCCTCGTGAATATTCATTGTTTTAAGTACCATATTTGGGAACACTCGCTGTGGCCTCAAAAAAGCAATTGGACAAAGCAAACACATGAGAGTTGCACTTTTCAACCCCTCATGAGTTTCTACTCTTACATATAGTGNGTTTGACCATAGCTTGGTTAACGGCCGCACTTGATCTTGTTGATTTTCAGGGCTGTCTTCGCCGCAGTCCCAAAGAGCGCTACACCATTCCGCAGCTTTTAGCTCACCCTTTCATTAGCTCCTCAGCGCAAGGGAATACATCCTCGTTTTCAGACCCTTCGGTGGAAATAGACTCGGACAGAATGTTTGACTGCCTGATGGAGTTTGCCAAGGCTGATGTCAACTCTCCTCGATCAATACGAGCTCTCAGTCAGGTAACAATTTACACTGTATGATTTGTAGTGCTGAAAGTTTTCTTATAGACGTTTTCTCATATCAGAAGTTCACAACGGGATGAAACGTGTAACTCGCGCTCAATCCTCGTGAATATTCATTGTTTTAAGTACCATATTTGCGAACACTCGCTGTGGCCTCAAAAAAGCAATGGGTTTAATAACAACTTTGCGCGTGCATCACGCTTTTTGTACATTTCGTTTCTCTGCCGTCACGGCACGACTATAGGGTGTAAACACAAGACATGTACAGAGACTTTCTTTTTCTTTTCCTGAACTTAGATACAGTGTTTAAAATTCAACTCCAGAAAAATGTGCTAACATTTGGCAAACAGAACGAGACAGAATAAGCGTGATAAAGTTTGAAGCAGAGCGAACTCACTTTTTATGACGTTTTCACAGCCGTCGTCGTCGTTATTGCTTATTTAATAAGCTCCCGATTTTTTTAAGCGGGCGCAGGAACGTGGAGTAATTTACGTCACGTCGTTGATGAAGTTTGATTGGTCAATATTTTTTCTTCTCGTTCCTTTGCGAAAATGAATATTCACGAGTATTGGACAAAGCAAACACATGAGAGTTGCACTTTTCAACCCCTCATGAGTTTCTACTCTTAAATATAGTGAGCAATAGTCCGAAAAATAAAATAGAGTAGCTACGAATATGTTGTGGTTCAATTTTATCCTTGGTTTAAATTTTATTTTCTTTTGTTTAAAGCTCATTTTCATATATTATCATACCCAAGAACAAAAGAAAATAAAATTTAAATGAAGGATAAAATTAAATCGCAGCATTCATCTAATGACTACAGAACAGTTGGAAGAAGATGGTAGAAAGCCCGAAAACAACATTCGTAATTAGTTTTGTTGCCAAACAGACATCTGGTTTCAAAAACCTCTTTTGACATGTGTAAGCAGCAAAGAAAGTCCACTGTCGCCGAGGGCTGGGCCGAGTAAGGTCTGGGGTTGAGGCTTAACTGTTAGTGTTTTATTATTCACCAGAGCTTCCTTAAACAGCTGCGTGCTGGAAATAAAATCAGTGTCTCATCAGCTGTACCTGGCAGGCACCATATTCATGTCAACTCTCAGCATGCAGTGCCATCGATTCAGGTCCCAGGCCCTGCACTCCGTCAGCCGTTGGCTGGAATTGACGTTCAAGCATTAAGTCAGGCACACAATGCATTGAAACCGCCTCACGTGTCAGGGAACGACAAGTACATGAGATGGAACACAATTGAACGTGATAAGGTATTTTATTAACGTTTGTAAGTCGCGTTCTCTCTGTAAAAGACTGCTTATAAAGTATTCATATTGTAGCTAATAGACAGATNGCCGAGGGCTGGGCCGAGTAAGGTCTGGGGTTGAGGCTTGACTGTTAGTGTTTTATTATTCACCAGAGCTTCCTTAAACAGCTGCGTGCTGGAAATAAAATCAGTGTCTCATCAGCTGTACCTGGCAGGCACCATATTCATGTCAACTCTCAGCATGCAGTGCCATCGATTCAGGTCCCAGGCCCTGCACTCCGTCAGCCGTTGGCTGGAATTGACGTTCAAGCATTAAGTCAGGCACACAATGCATTGAAACCGCCTCACGTGTCAGGGAACGACAAGTACATGAGATGGAACACAATTGAACGTGATAAGGTATTTTATTAACGTTTGTAAGTCGCGTTCTCTCTGTAAAAGACTGCTTATAAAGTATTCATATTGTAGCCAATAGACAGATTTAGTAAAGACACGGTGACAGCGGCGTTACACCACCAGGGTCTACGTCCCCTACTCTTTTTGAACAGTGGAAAAGCTGTGAAGTGGGACTGACAGTTTCTCGGCGGACTGACTAATGACAGAGTGGCAAGTTGTCCACGGGAAGTAGTGCTCAGTCCTTTCCGCGCGCTTTCGCGTTCCCATTTTTCGTTGCTTGGTTTTTACACACTCTATTTGCAGTTAGCCACTACTACACCTGGCGGAGGATCATGAGGTTATTCCTATAGTAAGATCTCTAATGACAATTCACTCAGCCCAGGAAAGGTTGTTTACACCACCAGGGTCTACGTCCCCTACTCTTTCTGAACAGTGGAAAAGCTGTGAGGTGGGACTGACAGTTTCTCGTCCTTATCCGAGAAGATTAGAAAGTCTAACCGTTGTGCAAATGTCATTACAAAGGCAGCACTTTTCTCTCAGTTATTAAAAGACCTGAGTGTTGGTCCGGCTGGGTATTAAATCCCCGACCCCCTCTTAGAAGACTGGCGCTCTCCCAGCTGAGCTAACCAGGCGGCGGTTTGCTCAGTAATCTCTTTTGCTAAATCTGCCTTTGTAGTGGGACGTTCTTTTAACTTTGTGGTAGAATTTTATTTTATTTTTTATTTTAGAGGACTACAACTGTGGATAGTCGCTATTGTACTTGCCCTGTTAATAATTGGCGTGGAATGTTTTAGAGTCTGCTTGATCTTTTTCGTTGTCGTCCTTGGCGATTCGAAGAGCTTCTGAAACGCAGTTCCCAATAATGATGAACCAAATTTTCTGAGCGTTTAACTTCTTCATTCTACATATTCAGTTGTAGATTTTTATCACCCTTTTATTGTTTTTGAATAGGAAAATGCAGATCTAAACGCTGTATTGAAGCGTGAGCTTGCCGAAAAGTATAGAAATGCAGTTCCTGCTGACATTTCCGAGTCAACATTTGGTAAGTACTGTCAAGAAGGTTTTCACTTTGGTTTTCTCTGTGGATTATTATTATTTCATGCAACTCGCTTTTAGAATAAGCGCTTCATAATGGATTCAGTGAAAATCAACCATTTGCAAAAAATAAAATAAAAATGTGTTGATTGCCGTAGAAAATAATGGAGCTGTAAACAGTTGAAAAAGATTTTTCCTAAGGATTCTGGTGATCGAAGCTAGCCCTGTAAAGATGATGGTTAAGGATTTTTTTACTTTCTGTTGGTCGCTTAACTGTAATCTAGAACCAAGTTAGAAATATGGAACCTGGACTGAAAATATTTTTGTCTGTGTTACAGAACAGTCATGGAATACAACGACAGGAAGATGAATAGTGCACTAAAATCAAGAAATCGACGCTGGCTTGTGATAATTTAGGATGTTTTATTCAGACCCTATGTAATATATGTTTCTCTGCTAAGTGCCATACTGGTTCTCCCAAACTTCAGTATACCTGCCTTTAGTAAAAATAAAAATACGAGAACTCGCATACGAGGATTTTGGATTGGCGTAAAGCAGATTTGTCACGTAATTTATCGAAATTCAAACGGTGAGAACTGCCACTAAATTGACTGGAAAAAAACTCTCAAAGAAGGTATACAAAAAGAACCACGGATGAACAAACTCGAAGGGAGACTGAAACGGATTGCAATTGTCTAACAGTTTTTCAAAAGGTTCATTTCAGTTCTTTGTAACGTTATTAATATATATGATAATTAGCCTTTGCGACCTTGTTAGCATGTGCCAAATACAACAGTATTCTTACTTTCATTTCACACATATAAAAGAAAATATAAATAGGCGGCCATCATGAAAGGGGTCTACACTAAGACGTGAATAAAAGTTAGTAGAAGGACAGCAGCAAGTGTAAATAAAAAGCTGCGTTTAATAGATATTAAACAGTGTATTTTACTGCTTCCTGGCGAGGGAAATGGGGATTAGAGAAGTGAGGACTGGTCCACACTTGCTACATACGGGTGCTTATGACCTTGTAAGAAATAGAAATCGCAGTCATAGGCGGGAATTGTTATTAAAAAGGGACTGTAACCATCAGCCATTTTGATTTAACTAAATGCACTCCATTTTACTAAATTCCGTAAAAATCGAGGTAATCTTGATAGGATATTGGATCTTTGTATAAAGGGTTCTTAGGATGCAAAACAATTTATAAGATATCAATTCCGGGAAAAATAAACGTTGTTGAAAATTTAACTCAGCGTTAGTCGTTTGGTCATTTAATTTTCTTTTTCCCAAATTAGTAACTTTCTAACAAAAAAAGCCTGGATTTTATTAACAGCTAAAATGACTTTGAGAGAGTTATAATATCCTTAATGATGTAGTACTAAACAATTCAATAAGTAAAAATAGACATAAATCCTTTTTTATAGAAAAGAAGTAAATTTTGAAAAACATGGCTGTCAAAACTCCGTTGTCATGGTAGAGTCACGCACACGATGACTTTAAATAATTTAATTCCAGATAAATTTTCGGAAATAAAGCTAAGTTTAGCGGTCATTGCTTTAATGGTATTGAAGTTATTTAACTTCTTAGCGAGGGGTGAGTCAAAAGCTCCCCGAGGTGGATAGGGTTAATTGTGCGTTACCTTACGTGTTGTTGACTTTCCCCTTCCGGCACTGCAACATATTACGGAACTACCCTCTTACATTTTCGACTTGACGGGTCTCACGTTAATCAATTAATTCACTGCTGCAGTTTCCGATTTCTGATTGATTTTTTCATTTTGAAATCAGTCAAAAAATAACATTCATACATAGGGTTTATAACTCAGTCCAACTAAAACCAAGGTTAGGCAATAATTCCTTCCGTTCGAAGTTCTATGGGTTGTTGGCTTTTCAAATATAGCTAACATTGTTTGCTAAACTGTCTCGAATAACTTTTAACTTGTTAAATGCGTGTGGTATGGACAGGTGGTGTCGATGTCGAAACAAATGGCGATGACAATCTTTTCTTCGTCTTCAGAATAAGACTAATTTGTTGGTTTAATATTGTGGTTTACGCTGAAAATACGAATTTTCACCCGTGCAGGTCAAAAAACTCGTATCTTCCAAAACCGCTTTGGTGGTTTAGACGGAGCAAACTGAACAAAACAAAGCGACTGTGTTGATTCTTTTCTTTACACGCACCTTTTGCTCTACTGGCTTTATCATTGCTCATGATCGATGAAATTGCTGACAAATACCCCCTTAAGCTTTATTTTAGGCTAAAATTCAAAATTTTTCTAAATTCGTGAACCTGTTAGCTCATTAGCTTTACAATGCGATAAGGCATTTTTGCCTCCAACAAAATGATAATTTCTAATTCAGCGAAGCAGAAAATACGAGATCTCGTATAATTTACATAATATTTATTTCGGATCACCCGAATAAATAACATCATGTTTTCCACTATTCAGTTGTGTTATTCCCTGACCGCCCAAGTGTTCTTTTTTATTTATCATCTTCAAGCCTTTGGATATTTTGATTTTTGGGATTTAAACTCTGACTTCATCCCTACTGAAAAGACAATCATGGCGCATAATAATTATTCATTGAAAATTTGTGAACCAAACAAAGATGATAAGGTATATTTATATGTTGTCCGACCTGATAATACTAATTAGCCGATCAATTTTAGAATATTATGATATTGCAGTTTCAACGTATTAGAAAATAAAAAGACTGAACTGTTTGCTATTTTCAGCCCTTTCAATAAAACTTTCGATGAGAACTACAAACCAATTTCGATATCCTCAAGGTCATACTTGAGAATTGCTTTAAGAGGCGCTATTGGCTATCTTTTTAAAGGCTAAAACGGTCTCGGGATCAGTTGAATTTCAAAAATAATGGTTCAGTTTTGTTTTTAAGAGTATTTTGAAGCATCGAAACTGTTCGCTGTCTTCTGTTGCCTCGGATGGCAAGGGTGATTGACATGGATTGAAACTTAAAAAAATTGGACCAGCTTTTTCAAGTTTAAATGTTATGCTCGCAAAAATCACCAAAAAGTTATTATGGTTAGTGATTCTTGATGAAATTTGCCTCACATTTTCGTCAAAACTCTACAGGAGCATTCTGTGTATAGTTGAGGCACTAAATAATTATTACCACAAAGAATTGACCTAAAACAGCAATACCCACATAACAGAGCCCCTTTAATTCAAACCTACGATATGCTCACTGTCTGCAAGTTTTTGGTTTCCACGGCAACAGACCAAGCGTTTCCTCGATCTAGATTTAGAAATATTTTGCTAAAAATAACACCAAAGCGTGGGCAAGATTGCTGATTAGAAGTTTGCGTAGGTGGAACAGAAAAATTGAAAAGCAAATTTTGCTTTTGAAAATAACTTTTTTCGTGTCACGTTTACTTGTAAAGCACATTGTTGATTCAGATTCACCTATTTTGAAGAAAACAATAGCCAATAAGCTGACATTATTTTCAGTCCATATGTACCAAGTCCGTTAAAAGCAGGACTGCGTTTCTAACTCGAAAGCAGATGCCATTCAAGTAAGCCAATGACACTGCAGTATTTTATGATTTCGAGAAATTAAAGGATATCGTCAACTAAGCATTTTCGTATTTTCAAAAATAGCAATATCAAAGAAGAAGAGCAGGAAGAAGTTAACTAGCAAGAATTTCACAGAACTGCGGCTCCGATAATAATGTGGCTGGTTACCGTTAATTTGGAGGTTCACTTCATGGACGTATTGGAGACATCAAGCGTGTTCGCTGTTCTGATGGTTGCTGCCATCTTGTTGGTTAAGCGCGGGTCGCGAAAATTGGAACCATTTAGAAATGGAAGATCTTCTGTTTTTTCGGAAAAAAAGCCAATTCCCGAGGAAAATGAAGAACACAACTTCTTCCAGGTAATTTATGAGCCCGCAAAAATAATATTAGAGAGTTTTCCTTCTTTTCTTTTTAAAACCTATAGTAATTGCATCAAGTTTGAAGAACTTTCTAGTCATCTGTGCAGAACAAAGAAGGTCGTTATAATGTTTAGTAGTTGGTCTATTTAATGGACAGTTAATGTTTCGTTTAACTCATAGATAACAGAATAAATGTGAAAAGAAGACTGAATAGCACATTGAAAAAAGGAAAACTTACAATCAGCAGCTTTTATACATTTCCCTAACTGAATGACCTTTTCCTGTACCTAATAAGCCGGGTTTCCCTATAAACTATTATAAGAGCTAGTCTGCCGCGGTCTATGATACCAACGGGCGTATCCCAGGCTATCATATGCACCACAGATAAATTTTACCATTTATTTAGTCATCGCAGACAAGCTATTTTGGTATAAATAACTTGATTTGGGTTTGGAAGAAACCACTGAAGATCGTGATCATGAAAACCAGGCTTTACTGTCTTGTAAGTCTACTTTTGTTTAATTTCAGATTTCCTACGGTCCCAGTTCTACAGCCTCGTCTACAGATCTTGAAGAAATAAAAATTGACAACAATAATCTATTAATTTCGAAGGAATATAAACTTCTTTGGAAGGAAGCGCTCTAACAACAACTTTGTTTCGATCTCCCAGCCAGACTCAGTGATGCTAGCATGTTTCAATGGCACTATTGCTTTTATGTACACTGAATAAAGCATTGACTACGTAAACTCCCCTGTACAAAATGTTTAATTAAAAATATTTTGCTGATTTTAAAAGAGAAGCGATAAATTGAAAATTGACTGGTTTGATGAGAAAAAAGTGTGGATATGTATAAGTTTTATCTTGTTAATAGCCTGTGTAGTAAAAATATTATAAGAAACAAATTCAGTCACCGCTTGTCAAGTTAATCGTTATCCAGTGTAAAATTCAGTTTAAAACGCATCATTTCCCTCCAAGCGTGTTTTTCAGGAATTACATTAATCTATTATTCTTACATTCGCATCTAATCGGGCGCTAAAAAAATTAAAAGTTAAACAAAATATTAAAGTTAAATATGAGGCTGTTCGTTCGTGCTCATGGAATCAACTCCAAAATCTCTTGTGTAGCAATTTATTTCTTTTCAGTATTGTCAAATCTGGATGAAACACATGCACTATCTCGATCTTTTCTAGTGTCTTCGAAACCCCGATGGAAGAGAAGAACGGCGGTGCACGTGTACGCGGCGCTTTTTCGAAAGGAATCTGTGCTGGAATCAGAGCAACAAGCCGTCTTTCAAACTGATCATTTGTTCTAACAACTGGAGATAAAATTACCTCCCTAGCTAATCAAAATCGAACTTTTTGCTGGATCATTCGTTTTTGAGTCGTCTATGACTGTTCTTAGAGAAAAAGTAAATCAACTTGTGCACTATTAACCATTTTGTATATATTTCGCAATGGACCGGGTACAAGCAAAATGTAACTGCCGCAGGAATATTAGCTCAGTCGGTAGAGCGCTTGACTGCAGTGCGGAAGGTCGCGGATTCGATTCCCGTGGCCGGACCAATAATCAGGGTCTTAAAATAACTAAGAAATGAAGGTACTCCCTTTGCACTGCAGGCGGCTTGACCTTATAATTCGCGTACGTAAAATGGCGGTCCCGTCTCCTATTGGAGACGTAAAAATAGTGTCCCCTATTAGTACTTTCTCGCTAAATACCTTGACACTCAAATAAAGTGCTTCTTTTAAAGTTCCGTCCAACTCCGGGAGGTACGGAACAGAAGGCACTGACAACCGATAAAAACGTGAAAAAAATTACCGACTACCGATAGGAAAAATATTAACTGACTACCGACATTGACTGACGTGATCTACTAGTTTGTTTCCAGAAAGAAGAGCATATTGTACCATAAATCCTCTGATTAAAACCCATTTGAGTGGAGATGAGGGGCTTATTTGAGAGAGGGGGGCTTCTTTAATTTAGAAAAGACGATGGTATCAGTTCTCCATGAGGAACTAGGATACAAAGTGGAAAAGCGAAAGTACGAGAAGCCGAAGATCAAAAACAATCAATGGTGAAATAAACGATCATGTTTCATAAATTAAACAAACCGGAGTTAATGGAGTTGAAGTCCAATCAAGTGAAGCATTGTTACAAGTTCAACACGTTTTATAGGGATCAAAGTCATGAAACTGAGTGAAATACATAACAAACATTAATAATTAACATGCATTTTCATTTATTAACTGAGATTTACCGACAACCGACAAAGGTCGAAAATTTTTAACCGACTTCCGACAAAGTGACGGAACTTTAACCGATAACCGACCGCCGCCCCCCCCCCCCCCCCCCCCCCCCCCCCCCCCCCCCCC